TTGTACAACACCAACAACAAATCCACTTGCAGCCACAGCAATAAAACAAAGAACGCTAGAAATCCGCCTTCCAAACCTAACAATTGAACAATTAAATACATGTATTATATTTTCCACATAGATCTGTTAACGTCCTACATACATGAATTCTTAAGACTCAGATGTCAATGATACAGTTTATAAAGTGAATACCAACATTTAAATGTTCCGATAACCCTTAGAAGGAAATATACAACGTTCATAAACAACTTGCGCTAAAATAGTTGGTAAATTTACCTCAGTTGTCTTTGCAACTCTTTATATACATATTCAATGAAGGCATGTCAACGGAATGCATTTGTATATTTGTATTTGAGAAAACTCCAAAACTTAATTTAATCTTTATAAATAACGATATGTTTTATACACGGGAAGAAAATGTTTATCAAAGTTTTGGTCTCCAACCTGATTTGTAACCAGAGGGCGATGATCTTTGTAGGAATTCCTGCTATACTAAATAGAAATAGGTTCAGATAGATGTTTCCTGAAAGAGCTTGAATGCCAAATGTTATTGCGTACAACACCATCCCTAATGCCAACCTGCAAAGAAATTTCATAACTTTGATTACACTATAATTGCCATGCGGAGGTCTGTTGTTTAAATACAATCGCAGGTCTATCGCACCAGGTAGCATGGACAGTCTGAGACTGTGATTGCAAAAATATGTGATGCTTAATGCATGGGGACTAGTTTTAAATGCCAATGTACACATCAATGCAGGATTATTTCAAACAACAAAATTAATCATATATTGCTTTTTTCTCCCGGTGCACTTGTAAATGAGAAATGATGCAACATTTCTTGGATTAATGAACGAGCCTTTTTTTAAAAACATGTTAATACATTAAAGAGCTTTTACAATGAAAAAGATCAACATAAGTTAAACTTAATCGATCATTTGAAATAACAAAATTACAAGAGAAAAAACAGGATAATAAACATGCCAGTCAATAGCCAGTAAGAGAGTGATTTTTGTAAGTTCCTTTGACTTAAACAGGTGTATGAAAGTGTATTTCTTGTCCATCTCTTTGGTTGATTCTTTCTCAATTATAACTGTATTTCCAACTTCTGGTACAGGCTTATTGTTTATCTTTGCCCATCGTTCTATAATCTTTTGTGCATCGGCGGGACGGTCATGTGCAACAAACCAACGAAAGCTTTCTGGTATGACGCTATGAAATAATAAGTGATCACTGTCATTTAATAAATAATATAATAATAACATATTAATTTCACAATATGTATGAAATTTCTTGACGTTTGTTTTTCTTTGTCTAATTTTAAAACGTAACTGTTAAAAGATTTTTAAACAATCACTGGTATTAAAAAAGTAACAAATACAGCAGACAAAAAAGTATGAAACTATAATGTTGTGCTTCTAGAAGTACTGAGATGATAATTTTTTCTGATGTCTACACGCTCTTATGAATTATGAAAAACAAGATCAACAAGGAAAGGCGGCGTTCAATGAACGCAACCCCCATATGACCCAGCAACAAGAACCAATGGCAAGGAGCCCAGGCGGACCCCAAACATAAAAAGGACAGGGCAACGTGTCGTTAATCATTAAATGATAAATAATTTGTAACTGATTAGGAATTCAAAGAAATAATAATAGGCCCACAAAGGGGAAGGGGACAGGAGACCGGGGGAAGGGGGGCGGGTTAATCAAAGAAATAAAAACTAGAGGCAATGGGGAAGATACTTACCGTAGACGAGAAAACAACAAGGGACACAAGCAAAAGTGTCACCAAAACAGTATGAAACAACATAGACATACATCTGAGGAACACAGTGGGGCGCCGCCTTGGAACGGTCAGCAGCATAATAATGACTGCTGGGGCGTTTAAACCGGTTAATGGTGCACCAAACCTCGCTCTTAGCCCCACCATGTTCCTATAAACGAGACAGTGTATATAAAATGAATCCCCGCCAAGTGAAATTCTAACAGTTGTCATGGTTACAAAAGGTTAAATAAGTAAAACACTAAAATGATCATGTAGAAACATATAAAAGTAAACCCAATGACCATAACAAAAGTACTCAATGTCCTAAAGGAAGACAGAGCAACAAGAAAATCACCTACAAGGGCCCGACGAAGCAAGGCAGAAGACGAACATTAAGACAATTCAGTCCCAAAGGGCTTTACGAACTATCCATCATAGAGTCTCCCACTTGGTCCGTCAGATGCAATCAAAAGAGGAAAGCGTAGTGTCCAACTGTAAAAGGGTTGAACACTAAACATGCAGTATGTCTTAAAATAGTAGGGTCATAACCTCTTTTAATAAAACGTTTAATAATTTTAGTAAAAACAGCAGAAAAATTACCATGACCCAAAATCTTACGAAGTTTGTAAACCACATCGCCATAAAAACCAGGCTGGCTAATCCCTTGTCGCAGAAGAGTTTTTAAATCACTATTGAATTTAGAAATTAAATCAAAGTTACGATTGTAAAATTTAGTAAAATATTTCCGTAATTTATGATAGCGGTAGCCCTGTTTTAGAAGCTTGCTGGTAATAAAAATATTCCGCTCGTTGAAATCCTTAACGTTGTTACAAGCTCTAGCGAATCTAATTAACTGAGATACATAAACCCCGTAGGATATTGCATGGGGTACGTCTCCATCCAAATGTGGATAATTAACTATACAAAAGTCAAAGTCATCTCTTTTATCATAAATTTTCGTGTGAATAGAATTGTTGTTGATAGTAATATGAAGATCCAAAAATGATGTACTAAAATTTCAAGAGTTCGTTTTATTAAGTTGTAGTTCATTCGGATAAATGTCAGACACCATTTGATCAAAATAAGGATTATCTAAATTAAAAATATCATCAAGGTATCTGGAAGTAGTATTAAATGCGACTATAACATCTTGTTGTTTCTCTTCAGACAGACTCAACATAAAGTCTCTTTCATAGCAGTACAAAAACAAATCGGCGACCAGGGGTGCACAATTAGTACCCATAGGAATTCCTATGATCTGTTTAAATAGGGTATTACCAAACCTGACATAAATGTTGTCGAAAAGAAAAGAGAGTGCTCTACAACTTCGTCACAGGTCCACATAGTATAATGTTTAACAATACCGTTAGTAAAAAAAAGCTTTGTTCGAATTACATGCTAGAAAAGTAACTTTTTCCCGTGCAAAAGTTTTCTGAATTAGGGAAATTAATTTATCATTGATTAATTTATGTGGCAAGTTGTATAAAGTGTAGAAAAATCGTATGTACTGACAGTTGAAGCTTGAAAGTTATTAATTTTGAATTTATCCAAGATTTCACCAGAATTTTTAATTGACCAAAAGAGATGTTTGCCTGTGTTTTCATAGACTTTATCACAATATCTAATTACATGTGTTTTAATGGCAGTCAAACAAGACGTCAATAAAATAGAAAGTTTACTTGTAGTGCAAGATGTAGAATTAGCAATAAATCTGGCTTTGTAAGGTTTTTTATGTAATTTAGGAATCCAATACATAATAGGAAGTTTGAGTTCTTTTTCATTAATTTGACTATGATATCGCCTTCTTATGCCGTAGTTTCCCCTTGCACATGCCCCAGAATAACAATTAAAGTAAATCAGAATTTTAAGAATCTGTATAAAGTAATTATGTTTGACATAAACATCAGTTTGGAATTTCCGACAAAATACTAAAACCCTTACAATTTTAAGTTTCATAAAAAGCATGCTTTATTCGTTTTTTTTGTTTTCAACGCTCACGAGAATCTCCTATGAGAAAACAGTCATTACATTAGTGTTGCATTATATAGACACTGTTAGGGCCAGGTAGGTTATAAGCATTTCCGTTCAAAAAATTGTTCTTCGACTGACAACTTAAACTTCATTCTATATCAAACATTTTGCAAAAACTAAAAACAAATAGCCCTGCATTATTACTTGGAGAACTAATTAGTGAGTGATATGTCTAAATATTACATTCTTTCGTAAAAACTAGTACAAAATGCTACAGAAACATATATGCATATATAATAAAGTAAGCTTTATAGTACTTTTAAACTACTTACAACCAAGTAAACAAGAATGGTATTCCTAGTAAACAACAAAATAATTGTATATAGCGCCAGTCTTTAATCAACCAGGACACAAGAGCCAGAGCGCACACTTGTAATGGCCAGGAAGGGAACCCTGTGATCCACGGACGCCATTTTGCCGACATAAATTCGGATAAAATGCAATGCTGAACGCTGATGAAGTCTCCAGCACCAATACCGATGAAAAATCGCGAGACAGCAAACATAATCCAGTTTGTAGACATAAAACCGATGAAATTGAAGACGACAACGATGATAATTCCGGCAAAGTACGGCCGTTTTCGTCCAAAGGTGTCCGAGAGTTGCCCGGCAACAAGACTTCCAACTAGCATACCAGACGCTTGTAGTGACATCACAGTGCTCGGTATGTAATCAAGGTCACATAACAGCTTGAACTGCAAAGCAAATAAGAATATTTTACATCTAACATTCAATGACATACATATTTTACTATGAAATACATCAATCGTTTCGATATACTGTTTAAAGTTACCGTATAAACCTCTATTAAGATATGATAACAAGATCAACAAAGAAAGGCGGCATTCAATGAACGCAACCCCCACACGACCCAGGAACAAGAACGAGCGGCAAGGAGCCAAGGCGGACCCCAAACAAGACCATCAAAAGGACGAATTGCTGGGTGATCTCAATTGTGGCTATTCTTATCTATGCTTATATATTTTGTGCTTATATATTTTGTGGCCATGGTCTATTTTTCTATTTGGAATGAACAAACAAAATGTATTATAACCCAAAGAACAAGCTAGGTGGTCCATATTCCGGATCATGTTTCCACTAACATAAAGAATAGAAAATTAAGTTCTTTTAACAATAATTTTGCATAAAACATGATTATATATTAACTCGTTTCTGAAATTTTTTTAAAAACCTGATATATTTTGTCAGTTTTTTATTTTTCATTTTATCAGCTTAATTATACATGAAATATATTTAATGAATAAAGAACTTATTATATTCGCCGTATATTAGTTGTTATACATATATATCTAAACACTTAAAAAGATGGCAAAACTTGTTGTTATAATATGTTACATTCAAATAACATCAAATGCTTCATTTACAAATTTTATATTTAAGATATTAATTACATACCTCAGATACTGCTGTTCTCACACCAGAAAACTCAAATGTATCACATTTGGTTTTATTTAATATACATGCTTTCTCAGCGCACATGTTTGTACCATTGTCGTTTTCTGCACAGGAAGCAGTATTATTGCTCGATGTGCCATCAATACACCACCACTTTGGTGTAGCAGTCAACATTATCGTGCTCATCACACTAAAACTTATCAGCGTCTTCGTCAGATGAACTGTGAAACCCATGTATTTTTGAAACCTGCCACATCCTCCAAGATTTTCAATTATTTCGTCAGGGCTTGTTGGTTTTGAAGCAGTCATTTCTCCTACACGTAACAAAAAGATATTACATTCAAAGAAGATAAAACCTATGCAATATGTTTTTTGGTTTGAAAATGTGAAATACGCACAAACAAGTAGGAAAAACTTTCGAAAGTGTTAAAAACCCGTTAAAGCAAGTTGATTTTTATTAATCGACTAGAATGAATTCATATAACGTCTTAAACATATATGCAGTGCATATTACTGAATGAGGAATGAGAAGTATAAGAAGTTCTGTATTCTGTTTAAATTTATTGCTTTGAGAAATATATTTTAGTTTAAGATAATGCTATAACATATCTTTAAACATATAGAAAAAAATCTTAATATACTAATATAACTTTCACACACCTTTGGAGGTAAATAATAATAATAATAATAATAATAATATCTTTATTTTAAGAAGATTACACATTAAGAACATACAATAACAATCATATATATCTAATTTCCAAAGTGGCCTTCTGAAATAGAAAACAACAACAACAACAACAACAGGACATGCATATGTAGAAAATGAATGTATAATATGTAATTTTTAGAATAATACAACTCATATACTTTCGACAGGCACTCAACAATTTTTGTTCAAACATATATGTACATTGCATCATTCGTTTGTTCGTTCATTCGTTCGTTCATATATTCATTCATTCATTCATTCATTCATTCATTCATTCATTCATTCATTCATTCACTCACTCATTCATTCATATGAACATCAAGATATGCTTTGTATTTTTCTTTAAAACATTTAAGGTTATTAACATTACGAATATTTAAAGGTATATAGTTCCAAATGTTCATGCCATAATAAGAAAATGTGTCTTTAATATAATTTGTTTTAGGTCTTGTCCATAATACAATATCTTTCCGTGACCTAGATCTTAAGTTATATATTTTGTTGTCGGATAAAGTCATCAGTTCTGTCATATAAGTCGGTGCCATGTTATTTAAAGTTTTAAAAACAAGCACCACCGTGTGGTATTTACATCTGTCAAGGAATGGTAACCAATTAAGAGTTTCGAATAGATTTGTTGACGGAGATCTTTGAAGTTGCTGTAAAATGATTTTAGCAATTCGTTTTTGTAACTTACAAACATTATTTATGTAGTTTGTGTTTCCTTTACCCCATATAATACAACAATAGTCCATAATGGGCAATATATATGCATTGTAAAACAATAATTTCATATCAAAGTGCAAAAAATACGATATTTTTTCAATAAGGCAATTTTTCCGTTAAGTTTTTTACAAACATTGTCAATTTGCAAGTGCCATTTTAAGTTGTTATCTATGCAAATACCCAAGACTTTTTGATCAGTTACATTTTCAAGAGCTATTTCATTTATCTTAAGAATTAATTTTTTAAGTTTATGGAATATTTTATTTTTGAAACAACCGTGTTTCCATAGCGTATAACTGACAACATAAATTGAGCCATGTCACGACAAAACCAACAATGTGGGTTTGCGACCAGCATGTATCATGACCAGCCTGCGCATCCGCGCAGTTTGATCAGGATCCATGCTGTTCTCTAACAAACTCTATTACAAGTAGAGGAACTGATAGCGAACAGCGGTTGCAGGCTGGTCTGGATCCATGCTGGTTGCAAACGCACTATGTTGGTTTTGTCGTGACACGGCTCAATTGTATTTACTTAAAAATGCATGGAAGACAAATAACTAAGACCTGCAAAAGTGTGTTATTTACATAACATGTTTATTTGCACTTTCGTATTTAGTACTTAATTGTGTAAGAGATGTTATATAATTCATCCGCGGTTGATTACATAACGAGCGTTTCAGGCTGCTGCACAAATATCATCATGCTTTTTTTAATGTGACTTATTATAAGTTCTTAACTTTGTACTTTTGGATTTAGTACTAAATAGTGTAAGAGATGTTATATAATACATCCGCGGTTAATTACATAACGAGCGTTTCAGGTTGCTGTACAAATATTATCATGCTTTTTTTAACGTGACTTACTAAGTTCTTAAATCATTTGTAAAGGTGATGAAAGACAAAAGGACCAAAGCAGAGAAAAAGTACCCACCGCATGATATATACCATTGCACAATTTTTTCTGTATTGATTTAATTAGGCGAACGGTGGAGGTTCTTGGATTCAATCAATGCGGTATAAGCCCGTGTGGTGAAATTTAAAATCGTTGTTTTTTTTATTAGACTTTAGAATAATAAAAAAGTATAACGATATATATTCATTGAAAATGTAAATAAAATAAAAGTGTTTGGTGGTTTAAAATGAATAACCAGTTAAATATAACAGATACCTTTTTTATAAAGAAATCAAGTACGTCAGTTTGATACCTAGTTTGGTTCTCGACACAGAGAAATGAGCCGCGTCATAACAAAACCAACATAATGCGTTCGTGACCAGCATGGATCCAGACTAGCCTGTGCATCCGCGCGGTCTGATCAGGATCCATGCTGTTCGCTATCAGTTTCACTACTTGTAATAGAGCTGGTAAGCGAACAGCATGGATCCTGATCAGACTGCGTGGATGCGCAGGCTGGTCTGGATCCATGCTGGTCCCAAACGCACTATGTTGGTTTTGTCATGGCGCGGCTCAAATGCATCTTACATATCACTTTGTTCTCTTATGTTAGCAGTTGTGAGCATATATATTAGTGTTATTGGATGTAAAATTCTAATTTGTTATTAAACTATTGAAAAGAACTCCACTGAGATGCAAAACCAAAAAGATAACATATATTAAAAAAAAAAATGTTTTGTGTTATTCTTAGACATTGCAACGTTTTTCATATTAAGGCATTTTTTTAAAAATTAGAATCATTCTGGGAAAAAAATGTTAATCAATTAAATATATGTTATTTTATAAACACAAACATTAAATAATAAGTAAGATAATTAACATGACAATAAGGTGTATAACTGGTGGAAGTATATAAAATACCACTATATAATATAAAACGGGTATAAATATTTTCATCGTTTAATTTTCTTTTATCCTTTTGTATTAAGTTTGCTAATCCTTATAATTAAATTTTATAGGAGCAGATAAAGTTGAACTTGCGAATTTATAAACAACCTTTCACGATACTCGTGTATACTAGTGATGGAAGAAGCTTAAACTATGCTTGGTTATCACGTGATATTTTTGACAGTTTTTGCCGTATATTTGTTGTAAGTTTAAATAACCACAGTCACATTACAGTCATTTTATCTAACATAAGCCTTAAGAACTAATTTTCGAGACTGCACATACTAATTTGCAGCAAACATGTTTATAAAGTGACATTAAGCTGATTTTTTTCATTGTCAAGTTGAGCTGATATGACTTTATAATTAAAAAGACTGACTTTTATACTGGCGATGGACCAACAGTTGATATTGGAAAATGTTAAGAAAAAAAAAATCTGCCTGAAAAATAAAAGCGACTGCCCTACTCTTTTCCTTTTTATAAACTTAACGTAACAGTTTGAATATTCCAATGAATATACCTTGGGCCATGTGAGTTATTTATCTTTCATTCAAAGTGTATTATAAAATTGAAAGGAATTATGGCAAAATGTAAACTTATTTTGCTTTAACCTGTTTGAATATAACCTTGACTTAAGAAGTGCATTGTATATGTCATGATTGTCTGACTGAAAAAAACGACGTATTATTAATATATACACACACATACACATGTACAATAAACATGTACCTAAGTATACGACAACTGTAAGCTTATTAAAAAAGAACAGCTACTAAGACGTTATTATTATTATTAAAACTATTGAAAAACTATACATCATAATAAGTATGTACATGTATATTAACGAATTAATAGATAAAATTATATTAAGCATTTTTTGAATACGACATAACAATTTAAAAAAAATCCTTTTCCGAATACATTCTTAAGGCTTTTAAAATTAAGTACAAATTAAGGTTTAATTACTATAATCATTTTTGTTGTCTATAAACATATAAATGCCTCCTGTCCTTCGACTACGTTTGATTTTCCCCAGATGAACCACAACCTATCTTCCATGAGGCCAAACATTTAAATCAACAATTAAAACATGCATATTCTTACCTGAATTACGTAAACTGGGAATGTATGATACAGACAGGTACGTGAAATAATAAATCCTACTGTCCTACTGTTTGTAGGTAAAGGTTAATGGAGTTAACAACATTAACGTTACGTTAATTAGAACAGATACTTAAATATATTCATGATCACACTATTACGCGTTCAACCTTGATATTAAAGGCAAAATATACTTTTTTAGAAAGAGAAAGCAGTAGTTTTATCGCGGTTAAACAATGTTTTTTTATGAGTATACTATTATGCTTATTACATGAAAAGGTTGCTCTGAATGTGAAAGTAGCTAAAGGTAGTATTAGATGTAAACAAAGTTGTATTTGACTTCCATATTTAACACTAAAACAAAACCAACATAGTGCGTTTGCGACCAACATGGATCCAGACCAGCCTGTGCATTGCTGATCGGATAAAACCCTACTTAAAATAGCAAAATAATATTTTGTTCCGGAACATTTTGTTCTGTTTACGTACATTTTTCATGTGTGTTAAATATGTCACTACTTTTTCGGGAATCAACCATGTAATTATGGAACCAATATAATTTTACTGTTGATACATTTAGAAAAAAAAATATTTAATAAGATATAGGTTTTTAGAGGTTTAATAAATATTGTCTCGTCTAACATGACCTTCTGCTAAAATGTCAAACAGGTTGTAACTTAACGTCCTGGCTGGACATTGAGTTTATCGGTCATCGGGCGTTACAAGGATTCGGCAACCGGCCTCGACCCTGAGTTACTCGACAGCCGGACACGTCGCTGAGTTACTCGGCAACCTGGCTTGATGCCAAGTTGCTCGGCTTCAGGTCTAGAATGGTTGTCATCGGCAGGGCAAGGGCTAAACAATAGTAACGAACATCGAGATGTTGGCTTGGTGTTTCATTTTGTAATTTAACTTGTTTGAACATATTCTATTTAAAGATAAAAACCACGTATCCTTTACTAAATCAAAACGAATGAATAAAAATATGACTGAAACAAAGATAGAACATTACCTTAATATATTTTGATGTAATACCACTAAATATAACTATATCATAAATGACCTTTTGGAAATCCAAATGCAATAATTTTTTATGTTGAGCTCTCAAGGTTGTTCACTCGTAACGTCGACACTAAATCAGGTTAAAGTTTATTCATGCACACGAATTTTAACTTTTTAAGGGTCATTTATGAATCACGAATGTTCATGAATTTAATAACACCATACAAGTACAAACAAGTCAAAGACGGTAGTTGAAAGCGCAAGCTACTGTCCAGCCCCCTACCACAGACTTAAGTATTTAAAAGTGGCGTTTTGTTTTAATTTGGAACCAAAAGACGGATGTACGTATTCATAATTCTCTCACTATTGTGTTCAGTATATGTTCATAATGTCAAAGGATCTACACACAGATGTCTTTCAGGGTATGAAATAATGAACGAAAGGGCACATGCAGGTTATTCTTAACTATAAATGCTGGCACGTTGCATAAACTCTAAAATTGTATGAGTATATATGAGTTATTACATTGGTTAGAGTTGTTCAGACTATCTCGTATCTATATTTATTTCTAATAAGAAGCGTTTTGCGTTAATGTTTCAATTATATATATATAATTGTCATCAATATTTGAGCCAATGAGCTAAAAAAAACTTAACAATAAGTCATAAACTTTAATAATTTGATACGATTGACGTCAAATGACGTATCGAGGTGCGTCATCAATACCAATCCCTATAGATATCAATTTTGTCAGTAACCAAGTCAATCATAAAGAAGAGGGAATGGCGTTTGTTTAATTTACATATCAAGTAAACAAACTGTGGCCGTAGAACTGCAACAAAGCGGGTAATGACGCTTTCAGATCCGAAACAAATATTTTAGAAACAAATGTATCAGCATTAATTGTAAAGTTACAAAACACTTATATAAAACTGATTTTTCAAATGACCAGAAGCGGTTCATTATTTCGGATTAGATATTAGAAAAAAAAGACAATTAATATTATAATGAAATCAATGAAAAAAACGCACAAAAAATGACGACATTTATTGTTTCTGTGACATTCATTCGTTGTCGAGTTAAGCTGAGTTGGCACTGTATATTTAAAAGGGCCATTAGTTATGAAGTGCCCTTTAAATATTTAGTATGAACGCAGTGACTGTCGCGTTTTAACGTGTTGTTAATTTCTCGTAAATGAATTTACAGACATATAATATGTTGTTCAGGCTTTTCATTTATTAAGGTGGGTTTTGTCAATTGTCTATGATCGCAAGTCATTTCACTATGATTGCTTTTGATTCCACAATATGCATTTATTTTTCATCGATATAAGTATGATAACTGTTTATCATTATGATATTTATTTTCCATAATATGATGTAAATTTTCATATGCGCAGCATATCATTATCAAAAATTATAAATGCTATGCATAATTACCGTTATTGTGTGTACAATTTCTCAAATGCAATGTTATTTGTCTATTATGTTGGTGAGTTGCAATTTCACGAAATATCATTCTGAATGCTAACAATGTATGCTTTGCTGAAATTTTAATATGTTATGTGACATTTTCATTATACTTTATGATATACTTGTTTATTATCGTGCGCTGTACAATTGGCATGTTTTATCTGTAACCGATGTGATGTTGCAGGGCATGCAATGAGTCGATGAACTTATATAAATAATCAGTATGCCGAGTATGATAGTTAATAACGATCATGACATAGCATAATATAAAATTGTACATGTCAATCATTTCAGCGAGAACCAACGTGTTATACTTAACAATGAAGAATTAACATAGTTTCATTATGATAGACCATCATTAAACTATGAAATAATCTGGCAATCATTATTTGCTGCGCATCCTTAGTATAAAAGTAAACTTAAATCATATATTAGAAAATGAACATAAATTATTAATATAATAATCAACAAGCATCAAATAAAAACAATTATCAAAATAAAAGAATTTTTGTGCATTTGGGGCATTTATAAGATTTACCCTTGTCAGTTCGTCCGTCCATCCGTCCGTCCGTCCGTTCTCATTTTGTGTCGCACGTAGCTCTAGGTCAAAACGTATTTGACATAGAGTCATGAAACTTTACAGGAATGTTGCTCAACATGTGTAGCTGTGCACCTTTGTATTTTGTGTTGATTCATTCAGTATTTGAAGTTATTGCTTTTGACTAAGTAAAAATTTGCAATTTTCAAGTTGTGTCGCACGTCGCTCACTAAGTATTTGACCTAGAGTCATGAAACATTACAATAATGTTGCTCGGCATGTTAAGTTGTGCACCCGGGGTCTCACTTGTGGATATAGTCTGTTTTGAGTTATTGTTATTGACTTAGTAAAAACCGTTCTATTATGTTGTGTTATTGGTTCCTTGAGCGTTCAAGTTAGAATCAACCAACTTTACAGGAATAATGATCAACATCACTGTGAACCTATGCATCTGGGGTATGGCATGTGGATTATTTTACGTTTTGTATGAGATTTTGCCCTTGAATTAGTATAAATTAGTATGAATTTGCAATTTTCAACTGTTCATGCATAACTCAAAATTATTAGTCCTGTAGTCTTGAAAGTTTATAAGAATGTTGACAAGCACGTGTACTTTTGCACAGTTGGATTTGCTTGTGGATTTATTGAGTATTTGCCCTTTACTTAGTAAAACATTTTTAGTTTTCAACTTTAGGCACATGGAACCCAAAAACTATTTGACCTAGAGTCATACGATTGACTTAACAGTGGAGTGTGGGGCACAACATTTCTAGTTAATTTTTCACCATTCATTTATTGTATATTAACAGTACAGACAGTAATGGCGTTCTATAGATCAATATCGTTATTGCTTAAGAAAAGTTCTATGTCAAATGTATTTTTGATAATGGGAATTCTTCAACAAAGTGTTTGTTTGAACTAACCAGTTTTTCTTAGCAACAATCGTTTTCCATTTCAAATGAAGGAAGGACAGTGAAGATCAGGCATAGATTGTAAACTTCTATTGTCATTGTTTGAACCGATACCCAAGTCATGCTGATGGCCATGAAAGCGAATGCATTTGTAATCGCGTCATGGTGTGAAGTATCTGATATAACTATGCTCTGCAAATACACCCAGTTAATAGTTAATCAAATAATCATTGGAGTAACGAGGTCCTCTTTCTAAACCAGCTTCATGCTCAGTGATTTAACAGCAGGTTTAATGTCCATCAAAATACAACAGAGCTACAAATGAATAAGAAGTAATGACTCAATTTACATTTATGGTACTTGCATCTTCAGTAGCAAGAAAGATTTAACTAAAGAAAAAGATACACTGATTTACCTTCAAGAATCATAAAAAAGCAAACCATCTTAATTCATTTTTTCTTTCACTTTGAGTTGCGGTAAATATGAAATTCCTTAAAATGTTTTATCTTTACTCTACCTACGTAGAAACTCCTAGAAATAATAGTAAAAGGATGGCAATGTGTTTTTGGAAAGAAGTCCACAGTTTAACATTCTCAGCAGTCTGAAACATTCGTAAAGTAAGCTTGTGTTCAGCACAATGAAAGTTAATCATAAACGAAGTTTCTTTTTTAAGTGAACACCAACACGATTTCTATACCTAATCTGTCATTTTTGAAGCTCTATCCGATCAAAAAAATTAAAAGATATGGATATTTCTTAAACTTTTTCACATTGACTTCAAAGTTGTTTTTTTATAACAAAAGAACCACTTTGCAAAAGAAGATGTAGGTGTTGAGACAGAAACTACAGAGAAGAAAACAATAAAGTAAAGGAAATATTTCGGGCTTACCCTTCCCCGGGATCAAATATAAGGAGACACTGCTTAACAAATTGCATTATACTCGCGATTTCACTCTCTTAAAGTAACAAAAAGCATATTGAGGTATATTTTCCAACAGCTTGGGCTATTCCTGGCACAAGTTCCCCAACTATAACACCCACAAAGCAAACGATAAAAGAAAGTTTAACCTAAATCTATAAGTCTAAGAGTTACAATTTAATGAATACCTTTTATACATGATACTTTTATATCATAAAAAACGAACATTGTCACTATGATATACTTGTTCAAATTTTCAAAAGATATATACATTTAGTGACATGTTAGGGGCAGACTTCTTATGTATCCAACGATCAAATCTAGAGGTCATTTATCAGACCGATTGTTTAAACATTCAATTATATGTTTTCAGAAACATTTAATATATGTCTATTAACACAACACAATAACAGTATTTAGGTCATTTGTTTAATTTTTCAGATAGTCGAGCATGCGATCCTCGGATAACAAACCCGATACTTTCCCCATTGAGCTAAGCGGGCGGACGCCAATTTGTACCCCCACCTGAATGCTTCCATTTACACGTATACACCGTATACAGATAGTTACAAAGTTTGCCGAGTATACGATTTATTTGCTGATGAATTGACTACAGTATACCCATACCTAGTCAAATAGACAGTAATCAGTTTTGCTGGTATGCTAACGATAATGAACAAGAACAAATTGAAGTAGATATTCTTGCTATAGCGTGGATGCCAAAGCTTTTTATACCATAAAATACCAAACCAAAAGCAAACCTATATCAACAAGATAATTTTCTTAAGCAATTTAATTCTGCTTTTCTAAAACTACAACTATAAAACCATGTGCAAAGTATGAAAGCAACAATGCAATAAAATGATTATAATCATTTATAGTATATTTAATGTATTCAAATGTTATGATAAAAAAGAAATGGAAGAAAAAATATTGTACAAATAAATGTAAACAATCCACCGCATGTAATGAAGTGATGTTATACAATACTATTTGCAGTTGATGGAAAGCGATACTGTTGTATTTGCTAATTCCTGTGACTAAAACAGATTAATATATTTTTTTGTCATCTTAGTTCAGATAAAGTATGACAATGTCCGATATGGGACGCTAATTGATCCTAGCATCACGTGCTTTAACCTTGGATGCGTCTACAACGCGATTCCTAGCTTTTTGCCATAGAACAGTTTCAGGTTAAAACTGAAAATATTAATCGCATAATGATGCAAAAGTAAATAAAGATATGCATTAAAATATTTTATTTAGAACGAAAGTATTAAGAATATATATGAAATATCTTTAACTAAATACACTCGTTAAAGGCATATATTGTTTATAAATTAACTAACACGTGTTAAATTATAATTTAAGGCAATTACTGTGAACTTGAGAATGACTTACAACCAAGTCAGAAGACAATGTAGAACAAGGAGACAGCACAGTAGTTGAATATACCGCCAATCCTGAACAGCCAAACACAATGCAACAAATAAGTAAGAAAGTCCAAGTAGGAAAACCGAACAGGCATGGACACCATCTAGCTAATTAATATACTGAACAGTCCAACACGTTATGTACCTCCATAGAAATGTAATATACGTTCAAAGACAATGCAGAGTAATCTGGCGGTACAAACACGGCTTTAAGTGTTATTTAAGTCATGGTTAAAGGTATCAACATATGTTCAATGACATGTCCTTCAGGAACAAAAAAGCCAAGAAAGCTTTATGGCCAAGTGTGACATAAAAAGGAATATTTATATTTATTGTTTATAATTCCTTTTTGCGACCACGTCAGACTTAAAAGTCATTAAGATAATCATTGAACAATGTCAAAAATCATTTATTATCAAGAAAAGAGGTATATTTTTAAATAAAATATAACAGAGATTTATTTATAATAATATGTAATCTAGCTCGAGTTTACCACAAATATAAAAAGAAACATATCCCACGAAGTTAATAATCATGCTGAATAGTTCAGAACAAGTAATAATGTACATAAACGTTTATTTAACATCTCAGTTTACCTACTTTAATCCTTTGAATTGACTTTTATATGAATGATAGTACAAAATTAAGTCTTAGCACCTTTCAACTTGTAGGTTAATGCACGCTAAATTTTTGTCCCTTGAATTTTTTATTTCCAAAGACTGATAAAGTTACTGTCACGATTATCATTATTTACGATAAGTCGCTTGATGATACCAGAGAAAATTTATACCTGATACTTTCAACAGCGGGTTATGTATGCGCATTTGAAACCCGCAATTTTCCTTATATCCGTTAATGTAATCACGTTTTGGGTACTAACCGCTTTAATCAAGTCAAACGATTGTTTTGTCGGCGACAAAATTAGAAATCACAAGGATTTTTTCGATGAGAAAAGAAAGAGAGAATAGTGCATAGATAAGAAGTTCAATGCGTTAAATATGATATTACACATGTAGCAAGCATTTGTACACTGTCACTGACAATTTGGGTTCTATATCCGGGTTACACATTTTAGGCACACTTAAATTGAAATTGTAATATATATATATTACAAATTATTCATCGAATTAACCAGGGATCTTCAAATTTGGAAAAATGCGGAAAAATTCAAATTATATCCTTATATTACTATTTGTATCGGTTACTTGTCAACAATTCTCGCTTCTAAGCAGTTGATTTTTCCTTTTGATTAGATTTAATTGTTTACTAAATTGTTTGATGCTAAAAAGAATTGTCTTTTCCGGTATCGCTATTTTGTCATCCATAGAATTCGCATGTTCGAAATGTAACTTCGTTTCTAGCGAATCTTAGTGTAAAAAGGTCTATGAATTATGTTTGTTCGAGAAAGTTTTTGCATTGAAACTATTTGGCTTTCTTCATTGGGATTTCAAGGACAAAGAAAGAGCAAAACAACTACACGTGTTTTACAAAAAAATATAAAAATGTTTTAATTCTGTAGTGTAGCAAATCTCTCTTAAATAATTAACTGTTATAAATATGTAAATTATTATTATATACGTTCGCGAGTAGATTAGACAAGTAAAAAGTTGTTGTATAAGGTATTGTGTTCTTCTCTATACAAAGGTACTAGTTTATTTGTTTTCGTAAGTTCACATTACTTCAAATTTTTTCAATTCAAATCTTATTTAATTATTGCATTAATCTAAGTCTAATCTAAACATGTTAATCTAGTTTCAGCGATGTGTATTTAACCTTTCTTTTAAATTAAGGTTTCCTTAATTATTTACCGTACTAAATAATTCGAATAATGTCTTTACCGGTCGTTGTCACACATTTGGTTTTGAATCTTGATCTTATGTTGACACACGTACCAGTAAGGCACAAATAAAATCTTGTTTATTTCTTTTTAATTGTTGGTTTTGTTTTTATTGTCACGGGTCACATAAAATAGATCAATTATGGCTTTAAGTAACAAATACAGTGCTGGTCATCCGTGTCTTTATTATAGCTGTGAAGACACCAAAATAAGAGATCCCATTTCGCCGATAAATACACTGTGTTAATTGTGTGTGCATGTTTGTTCGCGTGCCTATGTTACATTTTTTCTCCCATGTTTATTAGCTATTGTTTTCTTACTTATATTACATTATATATATATACAAGGTATGATATATAATTAAAGCTTTATAAATAAGAAAACAATATAATTATATATAAACAATATACATGTATATATTGTTTTCTTATTTATATTACATTATATATATATGTATGTAATACTTGTTGGATTCCTGCCGGCAATGTTTAGGTGTACAATTTGTAATATAGAGAAACCTAATGCAATATATATCTCTTATTTGCTAATATCTTATCGCAACGTTTGCAAATAGCCAAATTACTATACAACGCATGGTGTAATATCTATGTTGTCTATTTCGATCAAATACCTGAAAATACATTATGAATAAAACACAGTAAACCTACCGTTTATAACAAGAGCTTTGAATACTGATGCTTACGCCGTTTAGTCGAGCTATAGTTAATTAAGTCGATTATAAACAACTATGACATTTTATAGGGAAGAAGGTTTATGTAAGGAGATTTTATGATCTATGGTAGGTTAATATTTTGTTATTTTTTAAATTTATTTACGGACGTTCACATAAAGTGTATAATAAATGTTACTTTTAAATAAGCTTTATCTTTAACTTTGGGTCAACCTATTTTACAGAAAATAAAGCGTTAAAATAAGAAATCAGTGAACTACGCAACAAAAATGAATTAGAGTGAACTCATTTTCTAAAAGTTTTTTAAATATTAATAAAACAAACAGAAATGCACCATTTAGATACTCATATAAAATATTTCTTTAAAAAGAGTTCCATGATGAATAATATTATTTTGTTCTATAGCATTAGTTTTCTGCTCTCTCTCTATATATATATTTGTAATATCGAATCATGTATGATTGCATCTCACACTTTGCAGAAAATCCATTTATATATCAGTCATAGTCTGTTGTCTTGAATGATACTACATTGCATTCTATCAGTTTAATTATTCATGTTAATAACAAACCTATCATTGTGGACAAATTCGCTTTAAGGTATGGAAATAAAATGAAAGTCGGGGCCAGTCACAATTGCTTGTAACAAGCCTTGACTTTCTACAGCATTGTAATTATATAGATGAAGATGTACGTTCTCAAATACTATGCTTAGAAAAACAAATTTATTTGCAGTAACTCACTCTGGAAATGACTGTTTTTCAACGAAATAACAAGGACGAGGAAGAGAAAATTGGCCCAGATGAAATAATCGATGAAATCGGAGGATGTGGGCGGTTCCAAATTCGGATGAGTATCATTGCTCATATGATGAAAACCATTGTCTGCTTTAGTTTTGCTGGAATGGTTATTTTTACCGCTCCACCTGATTGGTGGTGTGAAAGTGACGCCCTGCTGCACAATATGACGTCATGTAGTAGATTTGAAAATCGGACATCTGTGAACTACTGTCAGAAGCATTCATGCTACACGGCTAATGGTTCACAATGTACGTCATATGGCTTTGATGATAGTTTAAGTACTGCTATAAATGAGGTAACCTTTCTAACATTCTTTTCTTTAATGTCAATCAAAAAAAAAACAATGATCTATTTGACTGACAGTTTAAGACTCGTTATATCAATATCTCCTTATTGTATAAAGAAATTATGAAGCCAATTTAAAGGTGATCGGTGCTTCAATCAAAATATCCATCCATGAGTATTTTCTCATCTTTTCCTCATCCGCTGTCATCCTTTGCTCATCCGTTCAAAAGTATTTATTGTCTGAATTTCAAGCGTACGGAAGTATGATTGTTTAATACTTAACATTCTTACTTTGATTTGAAATGTTGAATCAGATGTCTTTGATATCTTTTAAGGTAAAGAATTGTCCTCTTATGTGTTGCAGCTGCAAATACTTCTCGTTCATCATTCAGTTTAACAATAATTACAAAACATTTCATCTTTTAAACTTGCAACCTGGGACGTTAATTTACATTAACATCAGTTACTGTCATTCTTTAACTAGCTCTATTAAGACAAGTCGGCGGCAGTTAAGTTTGGTCGTGATGAAAAATATTCAAATACTCCTTCTATTAATTTCTTTAATTCTTGCATGACAAATTAAGGTTACTATAGACCCAAACATAAGTTAAAATATTTAGTTTATTCGAGCTTCTGAATATGTATTCAGTGTAACAGTGTGAAATAATTTTGAATTGTAAGAAATCTCAAATGAGCATGAAATTCTTCCTTAGTTATTTTTTTTTCTTTACTTTTCTTTCCTTTTCAGTTCAATCTAGTATGTGACCAAGACTTTATTCCAAGTACGATCAATTCCATCCAACTTGCCGGAATAATGTTTGGAAACCTTATATCAGGGCAAATTTCGGATTTGTTTGGACGAAAACGGCCTATGTTTATGTCCATTGTTATCATAATGGCGGCAAATCTTCTTGGATTTTTCTCCACGTGTTGGGAAATGTTTGCTGCTGCTGCCTTTTTCACTGGAGTTGGAGGAGGTTTTTTCCTGACTACCCATTATTGTCTTTTGTCGGAATTTTCACCAGCAAAATGGCGTGTATGGATTACTGGCTTTCCCTCTTGGCCGGTGCAGGGGTGTTTCTTATCACTTGTATCTTGGCTTTTACACGACTGGAGATATATTCAATTAGTAACAGCAATTATGGCCTTGCCATTTCTGCTTTCTTGGTTGTAAGTTCTTTGCAATATTTATATTAATTCAAGTAAATCATTTGTTTTGTTGCACATGTAATGCATGATTTTATCACTTTTCAAACGTTATGTATAATTTATGCATGGTCTAGTGAAAGTAGCTATGTAGAAACTTGAATGATAATTTCACATAAAGAAGAATCTCAACATTCAATGACATTTTAGTACCATATTTATAATTTAATATTTTAACAATGCAAACATTCATGAAACATAGATTTCAAGATAATAACTGAAACAGTCAACCTGTATATACGATAAACTATTAGATTTGGAATTATTCTTATTGCAAAGACATGGAACTAACCCCCTCCCCCTAATATTGTGAACCGAGATGAATACTCAAAAATTTTTTTTATAGTGTCATTCCGGAAAGTTTCCGATGGTATTTAGCACATGACAAACCGGAAAGAGCCGGAAATATTCTCCGATCTGTAGCGAAGTACAATAAACATAATGATGTCAACTTCAATAAGGCTTTAAAGAAACCGGAAGATACACACGACCGGCGATATACTGTTTTAGATTTGTTCAAAACGAAATATTTGATCAGGATATCATTGCTTTCATCTTTGAGTTGGTAAGAATGACGACATACAATGTAATTGTAAAAACAGTTAAAAACTACATAATCATTGAATTCATAATTGTAACACATGTAAAATGCTAAACTTTACTCAAGTCGATGCTAGTTCGACTTGGACGGTAACTTGCATTATCCAGTATCGTCAGTGAAATCGAGCCTGCAACATTTTCAATTTTGCTGTGTTGGGGAAACTTCTTTTGGGATTATTATTTTCTATATTTAATAAATTTTCGGTTGTAAACTCGACATTGAACATTGATTTAGCGTACCATATTGCTACAGTGATATTTCAAATGTATAAGTTGTTTTTTGAAATCCAAATTTTTAAAATTACCAATATATTTGATTTGTCGTCAATGCTTTATATATCAATACTATAATAATTATGACATTTTTTTAAGGTTTGCTCTTGGATTTTGTTCTTTTGGTCTGGCTTTTGGGATCCAGTCACTGTCAGGAAACATTCATTTTAATCTGTTCTTGTTTAGTTTAACCGGAATCCCTTCAAAAGTGATAGCACTTTGGCTACAGAATAGGTACTTGATTGTTATATTCCATTATTCCTGTCAACTTGGCTCTCGGTATACCAATTTATTGCCAAAAAATAACATGTAGCAGTAATAAATAATGAGATAAAATTATAGTTGTATTTTGATGTCGCAAATTTTAGATTTGTAATATATAAATAATTGTGTTTTTATCTGTTTAGCAATGATTTCGTGCATGGGTCATTCGCTTTGATGGTAATTTAGTAAGAAAAGTCTTTCAAACAAGCATTTTGGAAGTATCTTTTTTAATGAAAATACAAGCAATCATCTTTGCAGCAGATATATTGCCTTGACTTTAAATAAGTCATTTAAAGACTTAATACCTTTATTTCAAATAGATACAATACATTTGATTTTACTTTAAATTATCAGTCGCACGAAAATTAAATCAATATTTACAATACGCGATGTTGAAAGAATACATGACTAGTCATATAGTTTATTAAAATTGACGTGCAGGTTTGGTCGTCGAGCTTCGTGCATGTTGTGCTTTGTTATCGTTATGATTGGAGGGTTTACTGTTGGTATTGTACAAACCACTGGTAAATATTTACAAAATATACAATTCTTGTTTCGAATGTATCAGGTTTTTTTGAATATATTAGAACATTTAAGAGGTAAGTCTTAAGATGAAGGAGGTCCTGCTGGAATTCGATATCATTAAAATGATCCATTATGGAATACATGATTTAAGCCATAGCGTTGCTTGATTTGTTGAATTTCAAAGAAATAAAATAAGGTAGGAATAATAAATTGATATCAATGATATTTTGCTATATAAAACAAGAATGACTAGGTGGAGTTAAAAATTTTCTATTTTGGATAATCAAATATTTGAATGTTTAAAAGTTAAAAACTTAAAGGAACATAATGTTCTAATTTTCTTACTGTTATTTAAAAGGCACTACAAAGATAATAAAAAATAACATTTCTACTACAGACGCTCCTCATAAAGATGCTCTCACAAATGCATTTGCATTGTTTGCAAACACTGGTATTGTGACGGCATGGGGACCAATTCAAACAATGACTATAGAGTTGTATCCAACGGTTATTCGGTGAGTACCTTTGCTTACTAGTATTTAGATACTCTCCATCCCAAAAGCGGTTAGCTCAATATGTAGATCGTTGGACTTTGAATCGGGCGGCCCGGGTTCGATTCCCTGACGTCGCAGGTCACTTTCGTTGTGATTGATTATGAAATCTTTACTACGGTCATTCCCACTGTACCTCTGCTCTGGCAAGTACAGAAGTTTCAGTTTCTTGCGAAAGTGAAGGCAACTTGTACTGGTAAACTGCTTGACAGCCTGCCCAGGAACGATGCGGTGGTTGAACTGTGTTCTGGTGAATTCAATGTGGCTTACTGTCGTGATCCGGAATGCAAACTACCATCACCACCACCAAAAGCGGTTTTATGATTATAAGATGTGTTTTGTTGGATTAAAATAACATATCGACACTGTAAAGGTAACATGTTAACCTTCTATGAATTCCTTAGCTAACTATCTGCACATTTATTTAGCAACGCGCATGCGCATGAGGTGTAGCACCGGCCTTCCGTAAGCTTACTAAATATCTTCCATTGTCTTCGACGTGATAATTTCGGAAGTTTGTGTTAAATTAGGGCCAAGCAGAAAATAACACAAATTATGGACCATATCCTTACTTTTTTTTTTAAAAACAAATACTTCAGGGAAAAATTTTAGAACACTTCGAAAAAGACTAAAATTTTAATCTATTTTAAAAAATTTTTAATTTATCGTTAACAAAATTAAAAAAAAAGTACATTCTTCTTTTTGAAAAATACACTTAAGTCTCCTTTCCAACTAAATTATTTGTTGTGTGAACGTAATGTCTTATTTTTTCTTAGTTGCATCATATATTTAATATATGTTTTTCATATTTTTTTTAAAAATTCGTTCATTTCTCAACAGAAATGTTGGGTTTGGCACACTAAGTGTGACCGGAAGAATTGGGGGAATAATTGCCATGCAGATCGTCTATTTGGTAAGTACCGTTTAAAAATTTGTAATAGTACAATTTATGTGCAGAATGAATCTTTGAAAACTGTTCCCTTTAAACAAGCTATCTTGCACGGTAGTTACTAAAATTTGAAGATTGATGCTTTTTGTGATATGCTTTCGATATGTTGGTGAGTTTATAATCAGAATACAATCTTTTTTTTTTAGATAGTATTCCATATCTTTGAGAATGAAAATATTTCATGACAGTATTATTTGGGACGATTTAAAATATCATGAAATGAAATGTATATTTTATATGAAATGAAATATATTTTTGATATATTCCTTACGTTTTTTAGTATTCATACCTTTAATATTTCTCTTCTATTTCAAGAACATGCATGTGCCAGGGTTACTATTTTACGTTTGCGCTTCGATATCTGTCGCAACATTGGTCAGTCTTATATTCTTACCTGAGACAATGGACAAGAATCTAACAGACAAAATCAAGGAGAATAATAATCTAAATAATAAAATAGTTCCTGCGTAATGGAGGACACACCTTTTTTAATGTAGAGAATGAACAATTTGTTTTGTGCTAAAGTGTCTGAACATTTGACATCATTGCTAAGACTAGATTCTGCTTGAATGTTTGTAAATGTACGTGTTAATTGTAATAACGTAATCCCAACCGTCACCCCCGTATCAACAGCAATAAAAAATAACAAATATCTACAGGAAAAAACAATTTAGTTATATGAACAGTATATGTTTAAAGTCTAAAACAGTGAAAGTTCACAATACCTGTTATACAAACATATTTAAAAAGGTAAAACAAGTAGTTTAAATTTGACCCTTTACATTGCTATTGAGCTGTAGAAAAGAGTGAGCTTAAAATGCAAAACCCGAATTGCGTTATGTTGAGAGCATTCAGCATAAATATATAATGTGTCTAGTTCTGAAATAATTATTGCATACATTTATAAGGATAGTTTCGAGATTTGTTTTTAGCACACAATAATAATTAACCGGATTTGCTGAACAGCGTTCTGGGGATACTGCCTCGATCCGGAGGGTTAACTACCAACACCGAATTAATTTCAGAACTCGTCAAAAATAATTTAAAAGCAGATAAATAAAAACAACATGATTTTTTTGGGGGTGGGGGTGGGGTGTCGATGTAAATTTAACATGATAAATGCGATACATACTAGAAAACTTCAAATAAAAAGGGTCAAAGAAACTGCCTACAAAACTTATGTAAGGCCCCAGTTAGAATACTGTTCCACGGTTTGGCACCCTTGGCAAAAATATCTAGATTACAAAAAAGAACATAAGACACACTTTAGAAAGAAAACCAAAAACCTTGTTATATGACGATTCTTTGCAACAGAAGTGTTAACCAGTATTTGTAATTTTAAATTTGTTAATAAAATGAAAATAAAATCAGCTGAAAAATTGGAGGGAGTCTACATTATCAACCTTGGATATGTACTCAAATGATGATTCTTATTCTTAACCTTTGCTGGGGTAGGTGCGAATTATTTTTGCTTCCAGTCAGCAGTATCTACAAGAGAGCATAGTGAAAATCTTTCATACGCTGCTAACTAAGAGGCCTATTTGTGAGACTATGCTATAGATAATCTCATATCCGCGAGATCAATCACAGACATCAGTCACCTATCTTAAGTGCTTGTTTGTTTTTATATTTTATTTTATTCATACCGAAAGAAAAGGTCAGACGTCGACTTTCGAACATTTCTGGTGGAGGAAGACCTAAGGTGCCTCTTTGTGCATTATTTCAAGCACTGGGTATCATTTGAGTAAAGCCACTCACCTTCCGCATTGTCCCAGCTACAATGCTAGTGTTACCTTATCATGAATAACACAATTATATTAAAAAAAGATGACACAGGTCCTCCTGGGATCCTTGCCGCAAGGTCTTGTTGCTGGGTCGTACGGAGGTTGTTGCGTTCATTGAACGCCGCCTTTCCTTGATGATCTTGTTTATCATATTTTGACTCTGAAAGCTACATTTCCTACCTTAATAGCACGCAATGTTTACCCCCCCCCCCCCAAAAAAAAAAAAAAAAAAAAAGGAAAAAAAAACTTAAGGATATTATAACATGTATAATTCATAGTTAAGGAAACCTTAACATTTACTTTCGAAGCACAATGAAAAGCAATTATGACTAATTCTACCTTAAAATCTACATTTGAAAAAAGATATGGATACTGTATAAGCAAAAGTTTTATAAAAAAATAAAATAATAATGTTACTGTACCAGAAATACCAAACAAGGACGAGGTATGTAGAAGAAACACTTTATGGGTATTTATAACTTTTCAAGAATATTTTATCATGATAATATTGTCATGAAAACAGACATTTTCTACTTCAAATTAAGTTTTAAAAAAGGACTTTGAATGTGTTTGGTACATCTTATATACAATCGCCGTCGTTCCAATCAATATTGTTTCTTTATTCCTGGTCTCCATAACTACAAGAAAACTTCAGGTACTGGTAATATTCTTCTATGCCATTAGAACTTTTCTGGTATTGTTGCAACAAGTCTTATCACTAACCTAGAAGATGTGGAGATCCGCCGTGTGCCACTGTCAGGAAATGCCTGTATTGTGGAAACCTGAAAGGAAAAGTGTATTAATACTATTAATATGGATGCAATAATATTTCTCAAATTTATAAAACTAAAATAGCTCCCACATTATCTTCAATAACCGTGCTGATAATCATTTCTATGCGTTTGAAATGTATACTTAAAATATTTTGAAACGCTACCATGACATTGAAATGCATTACTAAAAAGCCCCTGGATCTGGAAATCAAGGTACAAAAGTGCTTAATATTAAACTAAAAGCAAACAAAGTATTATTTACAGGATCATTTCCTACATTTTTATTGTATGTGGGACTAAAGAGGATCCCGTCTTACTCTTATTTGATTACCGTGCATCACATGCCTCATCATCATTAATTTAACAGGCATATAAGAAGCAATTAATATTGTTTAAAAAGTCAGCTTATACGTATCAAGTGTTGCAACCACTGGACGCAGCTGTTTTGTGGCTGCTTCAAGACGTTTCATTGTTATCATCATAAACCTGATTCATAAAATGCTCAAATTGTATTAAAAAGAATTCTGAAGATGGGATTGATGTGTGTTCGGGGAGATAACTCTACCAACACTCTGTTTAGATCCAGATATCAAAATCGTGTCATTGGGCCTATGTGATTTTTCCAACCATTGGGTGCACCTTAATTTTTGCACCAATGTCCGACGCCACAGCTAATTCATTTGTATGCATTGAAAACGTGAATCAATGGTTTCCCGGTATTTGTGAATGATTTAAATAAGAGTTTTCCTTTGATGAATAACCATTTAACTGTTTATATATATTTTTACTTTTTCTTTTTCATGTACTGTTTTGCAAAACAACCAGCTTTAACCCCCATCAAATCCCAGTAAGATATGAGAAAAACACCTAGCTTATAGGGCAAAGGTCAGTATTTTCAAAAACAAATTAAAAGAAGAACCGTCGTTGGCAAACAGACAAATATCCAAACCCCAGCTCGGCCCAGAAGTGGAACCATTACCTTTTGTAATAAATCTAACTATCTTTCGACTCAATTATTTTCTACTTTACTAATCTTTGAAGTTTGTCAACCCCTGTCAACATCATGCTTTCTTTTAACGTTTTAAAGATATGATCCATAACATAAACATATTGATATAATTGTGCTTTAATTAAATTGCTTGTTTTGTTAAAATCGGTCGGTTCTACCACAGACAGACATTTATGGCCGCATGACGTCAAGGCCGCATGACGTCATGCGGCCTTGAACGCGCATCTGCGTCCAACAGTCAAATTATCGCGGGCACATCTTTTACATCCGGGTCGGATGACGTAAACGGGTCAACAATGACCGCTTACATACGCTTCAGATAATAGAAAAACGGCTTTTTCAAAAATTATTATCATTTAAAATATTTCCATAAAAACCAAAACCGTAACCATGCATCTAAGAAAGTCATTTATTTTCGTTTAAGCATTTACTACAATGTTGATAATAACTCTTTAAGGTATCAAAATACATGTATATTCAATGGCATATCCTTTACAAAAGCACTAAAAGAATACGTCGTGGTGAAGTGTGGCATAAAAACGAAATAAAAAATAGTACTGTTAAGAATTCTTTCTTGCGAACCATTTCGGACTTGAAAACCGTTGAGATTATCATTGAACAAATGTCGGAATTGATTTCTTACCAAGAAAAGAGGTATACTTTTGAAAAAACAACAACAAAAAAACCCAGAGATATATATAATATATTAATATGTAGTCTAGCTTGAGTTAACCACATATATGAATCAAAACATTTCCCACGAAATTATAATTCTGAATAGGTCAAAACAGGTAATAATGTTTGTACAGTTATTTATCTAATCCTATGAATTGATACATTGACTCAATTGATACAAATGATTGTATAAAACTAAATCGTATCACCTTTCAACTTGAAGGCTAATGCACGCTACATATTTTGTCAATTGACATTTTTACTTTCAAAGAACGATAAAAGTTACTTTCACGATTATCATAATTAACTTAGTTCAAGAACGTGGAAGCAATGGAATGATTTAGAAATTGGCTGTAAAAACAACCGGTCACGTGACCATATGTCTTATACTTAGCATTTAGATAAACCCCATGATCAATGGAAATGTGGAGTACCAGCAATGTAATATAATGTAATGCATGGGTAAAATTTGTTCTCCAACACTCTGATATTATTTAGACTATTAATGAGAAAGTCGCTTGATGATTCCAGAGAAAATTTATACCTAATACTTTCAACAGAGAGTTATGTATGCGCATTTGAAATATTCAAATATATTCCCGATATTTTTCTTATATCCGTTAATGTCATCACGTTTTGGGTACTAACCGCTTTAAGTCAAGTCTTACGATTGGTTTGTCGGTGACATAATTAGAAATCACACAGGCATTTTTGTATGAGAAAAGAAAGAGAGAATGGTGCATAGATAAGAAGTTCAATGCCTTAATGATGATATTACACATGTAGCCAATATTGTATACACCGTTACTGACAATTTTGTTTATAGAGATAGGGCTCTATAACACGGTTACACATTTTACGTTCACTTAAATTGAGATTGTTTAATTCCAAATCGTATATATATAACGAAGATTCATTGAATGAACCCTTTGAAAGAAAGCGGAGAAATTGGAATTATACCCTTATAATAATCTTTATATCGGTTACTTATCAACAAAGAATCTGGAAACGAAGTGATCCCTCGGAAGCATTAATCACAACAGAATTGCAGACTCGGTTTGATCGAATCTCTTGCTTCTCAACAGATGATTTTTCCTATTGGTTAGATTGAATTGTTTACTTAATTGTTTGATACTAAAACTAATAAAGTTTCCTTTTAAAAGGAAAGGCTTGCTCAGTTGTGCCATCATCCCTTCCCTTTAAATTTTTTTTTGTTTCAATTTATTATCACATTTTTTTTTTAATTACGTATTTGTATATCATAAAGGTTAAAATTTTTTTTTTCACTTTTAAAGGGATATGTACTGTAGGGTTTTTTCGTTTTGGCAGCTGCTAATTTCATTAATAAAGCTGCTTTAGAGACAAGTAACGTTACGTTGTACCAATTAATAAGCATGTATCAACTATGTTACACCTAAAATATCTATGATCGACAACACAGGAGATCAGCACGTGGCAAGGTTAATTGTATGCATGGGCTATTTTTAGATTACCTCACCGAGACGTTTAAACGTCAGTAGATCTAAATATAACTTGATCATGCACTAATATTCTGCGTGATTCGGTTACGATCTTTTGATAAGCAGGACCGCCCTTTGGAGACGGAATACAGTAACCATTCTCTATTGTATAAAACTAATAAAGAAAAAAAAAAACAATTATAAAAGAAACTAACTTTTGCGTCTTGAAAAATAATTGAAACGGAATCAAGTAAAAATAGAAATCCTACTGGGATTACCGAAGTAACTAAAATAGCTTAGATTTCCGTAATATTACTACGTCTGATTCCGCAGTATGACGGAATCGCCCGAATTGTCACGACTGCAATCGGAACTACATCGGCTATTATCATTAATCCGAAGAGTGACGGAAAGGACCAAAAAGTTGCGATTGGCACGATTGCAACTGGTTTCCCGTTCAAACATGCACTAACAAAAGTAAGCAGGAAACCACCTAACCGGAACAAGTTTTCCAAAACAAATGTCTTGCAGCCGTGGCTGCAAGCCAAAAAGAATTGTGTTTTCCGATATCGCTATTTTGTCATCCATAAAATTCGCATGTGCGAATTGTTACTTCCGTTTCTAGGGAAAATCGTAGTGTAAAAATGTCTATTAATTATTTTTGTTCTAGTAAGTTTTTGCACTGAAACTATTTTGCTTTCTTAATTGGGATTTCAAGGACAAAGTACACTTTGTAATATAGAGAAACCTAATGCATTGTAAGGATTTTTAGTTACACATATATCGCTTATTTGATAATATCTTATCGCAATGTTTGCGAATAGCCAAATTACTATACAACGCATGGTATAATTTCTATGTTGTCTCATTTGATCAAATACATTAAAATACATTTTGAATAAAAAACCTTAAACCTACCGTTTATGACAAAAGCTTTAAACACTGATGCTTATGCCAAGTCGAGCTAAAGTAAATTAAGTCAATTATATACAACTTTTATATTCTATGTGGAAGAAGGTTAAAGTAAGGAAATTTTATGTTCTATGGTAGGTTAAAATATTTGTTGTATTTTTGCATTAAAAAGTGTATAAACTGTATAAATGTTAATGTAGCTTTTTCTTTTAACTTTGGGTTTACCTAATCTATAGAAAATAAAGCTTCCGTTTAAATAAGAATTCAGTACACTACATACAAATGAATTAGAGTGGGCTCATTTTCTACATGATTTTCAAATATTAATACGACAATCATATATTCATCATTTAGATTCATATAAAAAAGATTACTATGATGAATAATACTATTTTGTTCTATAACAATTTTTTTATCTGCTATATAAAGATTTGTGATATCGAATCATGTATCTCACACTCTTAGCAAAATATTTCATTCATTTTTTGTTGCCTCGTATGATACTTAATACTATCAGTATAATTATTCATGTTAATAACAAACCTACCATTGTGGACCCATTCTCTTCAAAGTATGGAAATAATATGAAAGTCAGGGCCTGTCACAATTGCATGTAACACGCCCTGACTTTCTGCAGAACTATGACCATGTAGATGAAGATGTACGTTCTCAAATATTATTTTTTTAAACTAACTCTTAAAAACACAAAACAAACCCACTTTATTTGCAGTAATTCACACCGGAAATGACTGTTTTTCAACAAAATAACAAGGACGAGGAAGAGAAAATTGGCCCAGATGAAATAATCGACGAAATTGGAGGATGTGGGCGGTTCCAAATTCGGATGAGTATCATTGCTCACATGATGAAAATCATTGTCTGCTTTAGTTTTGCTGGAATGGTTATTTTTACCGCTCCACCTGATTGGTGGTGTGAAAGTGACGCCATGCTGCACAATATGACGTCATGTAGTAGATTTGAAAATCGTACATCTGTGAACTACTGTCAGAAGCATTCATGCTACACGGCTAATGGTTCACAATGTTCGTCATATGGATTTGATGATAGTTTAAGTACTGCTATAAATGAGGTAACCTTTCTTACATTCTTTTCTTTAATGTGAATTTTAACAAACAGTGGTCTGTTTGACTGACAGTTTAAGACTTGTTATATGACTTTCTCCTTATTTTGTATAAAGAAACCATGAAGCCAGTTTAAAGGTGATCGGTACTTTAATCAAGATAACCATCCATGAGTTTTTCCGTATCTTTCATCATCCGCTTCCATCCGTTCAAAAGTCTTTATTGTCTGATTTCGAGCGTACGGAAATATGATTGTTAAAAAAATTTGCATTCTACTTTTGTTTTTTAATGTTAAATTCAGATTTCTTTTAAGGTGAATAAATGTCCTCTAATGTGTTTCAGCTGCGAATACTTCAAATACTATTTGTTCATCATTCAGTTTAACAATAACAACAAAATATTTCACGTTTTTCACTTCCAACCAAGGATGTTTATTTGCATTAAAAGCAGTTACTGTCAACCATTATTTGGCTCGATTGAGACGAGTTGGCGGCATTTCAGTTTGGTCGTGTTGAAAGATCTTTAAATGTTCCTTCGATTAATTTCCATTAAATCTTGCATGACAAATTTAGGTAACTATAGACATATTAAGTTAAAAAATTAATTTAATTTGAACATTTGAACATGAAATAAGTGTAAAAATATGAAATTATTTTGAATTGTAAGAAATCTCAAATGTGCTTGAAACTCTTCCTAAGTTATTTTTTCTTTACTTTTTTTCCTTTTCAGTTCAATCTAATATGTGACCAAGACTTTATTCCAAGTACGATCAATTCTATCCATCTAGCCGGAATAATGTTTGGAAACCTCATATCAGGACAAATTTCGGATTTATTTGGACGTAAACGGCCTATGTTTATGTCCATTGTTATTATGATGGCGGCAAATCTTCTTGGATTTTTCTCCACGTGTTGGGAAATGTTTGCTGCTGCTGCCTTTTTCATTGGAGTTGGAGGAGGTTTCTTCCTGACTACCCATTACTGTCTTTTGTCGGAATTTTCACCAGCAAAATGGCGTGTTTGGATTACTGGCTTTCCCTCCTGGCCTATGCAGGGGTGTTTGTTCTCACTCGTATCTTGGCTTTTACACGACTGGAGATATATACAACTAGTTACAGCAATTATGGCCTTGCCATTTCTGCTGTCTTGGTTGTAAGCTCTTTGCAATGTTTATATTAATTCATGTAAATCATTATTTTCGTAATGCATGATTTTATCACTTTCCTAACGTTATGTATGATTCATGATTGTTCTAGTTAAATTTTATTGAATGTAGAAACTTGAATGATAATTTTACATAAAAAAGTCTTAAAAGATTACATGTGGCATTTAATATCATTTTGTATCATTCTTAAATAATTTAATCTTCTAACAATGCAAAAATTAATTCTAAATAATAATTAAAACAGTCAACCTTTATGGACGATAAACTATTTGATTTGACATTATTCTTATTGCAAAGACATGGAACTTCCCCCAATATCATGTACCGAGATGAATACTCAAATATTTGTTTTATAGTGTCTTTCCAGAAAGTTTCCGATGGTATGTAGCACATGACAAACCGGAAAAAGCCGGAAATATTCTCCGCTCTGTAGCGAATTACAATAAACATAATGATGTCAACTTCAGTAAGGCTTTAAAGAAACCAGAAGATACACACGACCGGCGATATACTCTTTTAGATTTGTTCAAAACAAAATATATGATCAGGATATCATTGCTTTCTTCTTTGAGTTGGTAAGAATGACGACATTGTCATATGTTCTTACATTAAAAAATGTAACTACATAATCATTGAATTCATAATCGTAACTCATGTTCAATGTTGAAATTTGCTTAAGCCGATGTGAGGCCGATGTGAACTGTAGCTTGCATTATACAGAATCGTCAGACAAATCGAGCCTGCAACATTTTCATTTTTATCGTGTTGGCGTTCCTTTTAGGATTATTATTTTCCATATTTTAATAAATTTTCAAATGAAAATGAAGTTGTTAACTCGACATTGATTTAGCGTAACAAAATGCTTCAATGATTTCACAAATGTATAAGTAGTTTTTGAAAACCAAATCATTAATATTAACGATATATTTGATCTGCCAAATGTGTCAATACTATAATAATAATCACATTGTTTTCAAGGTTTGCTCTTGGAATTTGTTCTTTTGGTCTGGCTTTTGGGATACAGTCGCTGTCAGGAAACATTCATTTTAATATGTTCTTGTTTAGTTTGACCGGAATCCCTTCTAAAGTGATAGCACTTTGGCTACAAAATAGGTACTTGATTTTGTATTTAGTTATACCTTTCAACTTTCACGTTGGCTCTGGTATATCAATTTATTGCCATAGACTAACATGTAGCAGTGTTAACTAATAAGATAAAATTATAGTTGTATTTTGATGTGAAATATGACGGCCGCAAATTTTAGATTTGTTATACAATAAATAATTTTGTTTTTATCTGTTTAGCAATGATTTCGTGCATGAGTCATTCGTAATTTAGTATGATACTTCTTTCATACAAGGATTTAGGAAGTAACCTTTTTTGCAAATACATGCAATCATGTTTGCAGCAGATAATGATATATTGTCTTGACTTTAAATAAGTCAGTAAAAGACTTTAATACATTGGTTTCAAATGAATACAACACATTTAATTTAATCTTTAATTATCAGTCGCACGTAAATTAAATTAAAATTTACAATACGCTATGTTGAAGGAATACATGACTAGTCATATATTTTATTAAAATTGACGTGCAGGTTTGGTCGTCGAGCTTCGTGCATGTTGTGCTTTGTTATCGTTATGATTGGAGGGTTTACTGTTGGTATTGTACAAAGCACTGGTAAATATTTACAAAATAAACAATTCTTTTTTCGAATATATAAGTTTTTTGATTAGATTTTATTTTCGAATATATTACTTTTTCTCGAATAGATCAGATGATTTGAGGGGTAAGTCTTAAGATAAATGAGGCCCTATCATTAAAATGATCCATTGTATATAGTAAAAAAACTAACCTTAAGCATTGCTTTTAACGTTGAGTTTCAGTTCTTAAAGAATTATGATAAGCTAGGAATAATAAGTAATCATGTTTCGCCATATAAAACAAGAATGGCTTTTTTATTATGGGAAATCAAAGACTAAATGTTCAAAAAGTTAAAAACTAGAAGGAATATAATGTTCTCATTTTCTCACTGTTATTTGAAAAGCGCTGCTACATAATAAAAAATAACATTTCTATTACAGACGCTCCGCATAAAGATGCTCTCACAAATGCATTTGCAAACACTGGTATTGTGACGGCATGGGGACCAATTCAAACAATGACTCTAGAGCTGTATCCAACGGTTATTCGGTGAGAACCTATGCTTATTGGGGCGTCCGTGGCCGAGTGGTTAAGGTCGTTGACTTCAAACAACTTGTCCCTCACCGCTGGGGGTTCGAATCCCGACATGGACTTTGGATTCTTTCATGTGAGGAAGCTATCCAGCTAGCTTACGGAACGTCGATGGTTCTACTCAGGTGCCCGTTCGTGCCTGAAATAATGCACGGAAGGGCACCTGAGGTCTTCCTCCACCAATAAAGCTGGAACGTCGCGATATGACCTATACTGTGACGTAAAACCCAAAACAAACAAACAAAACCTTTGCTTACTAGTATTTAGATACTCTCCGTCCGTACAAGCGGTTTTATGATTATAAGATTTTCTGTTGGATTTATAAAACATATCGACACTGTAAAGGCAATATGGCAACATTTTCTCAACTACCCATCTGCACATTAATTTATTTACGAGCATGCGCCTGAGGTGTAGCACCGACCTTCCGTGAGCTTATTAAATATCTTACATTCTCTTGAATATGATTATTTCGGAGGTCAATAGAGAACCATATGACATATCTGCTTTTTAAAACTTATGTTTGGGGGGAAGAAGAAGTTTTATATTTCATGACAGTCTTATCTATAATAACTTAACAGTTGAGTTGACTGGGGCTATTTTTAGATTTTACATAACAGTCTCTTAATCATTACTTCGGTTTTGTCAAAAAGAACTCCACCAAATGTTAATTGGTAGTCTTTACGTGCAGTGAATAACTTCAATTAGATTTCTATTAAATGGTACATTATACAGCAAATAAGTAATATTTCTGAGTACATTACTACTTAGAATTTATATGTCATCTTCAATCATATTCATCTTTAATCATATTCAACAAGTACATTAAAAAATATTTAAAAATGAAAATGATCATTTTTTTTTCAACCAAATTATTAGTTCTATGAACAAAATGTCGTATTTGTTCTTAGTTGTATCATATATTTCACATGTTTTGCATATCTATTTAAAAATTTGTTCATTTCACCTCAGAAATATTGGATTTGGTACACTAAGTGTGACCGGAAGAATTGGGGGTATAATTGCCATGCAGATCGTCTATTTAGTAAGTATCGTTTAAAAGTTTGAAATTGTACAATTTATCTGCAGATATAAATCTTGAAAACTTTTTGCTTTAAACAAGCTGTCTTGCCCGGTAGTTAGTAAAATTTGGAGATTAATGCTTTCATGTGATATTCTACCTATATTTTGGTGAGTTTTAAATCAGAATACTATCTATTTTTGAGTAAGTATTCCACATTTTCGAGAATGAAAATATTTCATGACAGTTTTTTTGGTACTATTTAAAATATCATGAAACGAAATATATCTTATATGAAATATGTTTTATATATATTCTGTACGTTTTTTAGTACTCATACCTTTAATATTTATTTTCTTTTTAAGAACATGCAAATACCAGGGTTACTATTTTACGTTTGCGCTTTGATATCTGTCGCAACTTTGGTCAGTTTGATATTCCTACCTGAGACAATGGACAAGAATCTAACAGACAAAATCAAGGAGAATAATTATCTAAAAAATAAAGTAGTTCCTGCGTAATGGAGAACACACCTTTTTAATGTAGTGAACAATTTGTTTGTGTTAAAGTGTCTGACCATTTGACATCATTGCTAAGACTGGATTCTACTTGTTTGTAAATGTACGTTTTGATTAATATAGTGTAACCCCAACCGACATCCTCGTAACAACAGCAACTAAAATCAACTAGAAATACAAGTTAAATATATGAACCGTATATGTTAAGTTTACAGTCTAAAAAAATGGAAGTTCACAATACCTGTTATACAAATATATTTAAAAGGGTTAAACAAGTAGTTTAAATTTGAGCTTTTTAAGATGAGAGCGTTCAGCATAAGAATATAATGTGCCGAGTTTGAATTTGCAATCATATTATTGCACACATTTATAAGGATATTCTTCGAGATTTCATGCTTTTTTATCACATGATGATTCATATTCATTTTTATTTACCATGTGGACTAAATTGTGCTCTGGTGAATCAAAAGTGGCTTACTGCCTTGATCCAGAGGGTAAAGTACTTACACCAACACCACTAACCGAATTCATTTAAACTCTGGTTCAGCATACTCTGGTTGACCTGCTGTATACTTATGATAAATGCGACAATAGTTTCTTTTAAAATAAACTCGGAAACCTTGTAATGTTACAGCTCTTTGCAACAGAAGTGTTAACCAGTATTTGTAAATAGTTAATTTGTATAGCTTTGTTAACAAAATGAAAATAAAATCAGCTAAAAAGGTGAAGGTAGTTTACGTGATCATCCTCGGGAATTTACTCGAATGATGACCTTTGTTCACAACCAGTGCTTAGGTGAGTGCACATTATTTTTGCTTCCAGTCCAGAGTATCAACAATAGAGTTAAGTGAAAACCTTTCATATGTTGCTTACTAAAATATGCATTAGATAATCTAATATTCGCGAAATCAATCACAGACGCTCGTCAGCTTACTTAAGTACTTGTTCGTCAGACGACGACTTTCCAACATTGCTTGTGGAGGAAGACCTCAGATGCGTCTTTGTGCATTATTTCAAGCGCCGTCTATCACTTTAGTATAAGCCTCTCACCTTCCTCGTGGTCCCAGGTGCTAGTGTTACTTTATCACGAATAACACAAGATTAAAAAAAATTGACATGGGTCCTCCTGGGCTCCCTGCGACTGGTTCTTGTTGCTGGGCCGTGTGCGTGTTGCGTTCATTGAACGCGCCTCTCCTTGTTGATCATGTTTATCATATTTTGACTTTGAAAGCTGCTCTTTACCTTAAAAGCATGCAATGTTTAAAACCCAAAAGAAAAGAAAAAACTTTCAGGATATTATAACGTGTATAAGTCATAGTTAAGGAAACCTTAACATTTACTCTCGGAGCACAATACAAAGCAATAACGTTTACTACTACCAAAAAATCTACATTTAAAAAGATATTTATACTGTATAAGAAAAAGTGTTCATAAATTAAGAAATAATAATGTGACTGTACCAGGAATACCAAGCAAGGACGAGGTCTGTAGAAGAAACACTTTATGGGTATTTAGAACTTTTCGAGAATATTTTTTCATGTAAACATACATTTTCTACTTCTTATTCAGTTGTACAAAAGGGCTTTGATTGTATTTTGTGCATCTTATATACAATCGCCGTCGTACCAATCAATATTGTTTTCTTATCCCTGGTCTCCAAAACTACAAGAAAACTTCATGTCCTGGTGAAATTCTTCTACGCCATAAGAAGCTTTCTGACATCCTTGCAACAAGTCTTATCACTAACCTAGAAGATGTGGAGATCCGCCGTGTGCCACTGTCAGGAAATGACTGTATTGTGGCAACCTGATAGGAAAAGTGTATAAATACTATTGATATGGATAAAATAATATTTTTCGAATTTCTAACATTAAAATAGCTCCAACATTATCTTCAATAACCGTGCTGATAATCTTTCCTATGCGTTTGAACTGTATACTTATAATATTTTGAAACGCTACCATGACATAAAAATGCGTTACTAAAATGCCTCTGGGTCTGGAAATCAAGGTACAAAAGTGCTTATTTTACTAGAAGCAAACAAAGTATTATTTACAGGATCATTTCCTTCATTTTTTGTTGTATAAGGGACTAAAGAGGATCACGTCTTACTCTTATCTGATGACCGTGCATCACATGCCTCATCATCATTAGTTTAACAGGCAAATAAGAAGCATTTAATATTGTTTGAAAAGTCAGCTTATACGCAACCACTGGACGCAGCTGTTTGTGTATTATTATCATCATAAACCTGATTCATAAAATGCTCAAAATTGTATTTAAAAGGATTCTGAAGATGGGATTGATGTGTGTTTGGGGAGATAACGTTTCCAACACTCTGTTAAGATCCAGATATCAAAATCGTGTCCTTGGGCCTGTGTGATGTTTGCAACCATTAGGTGCACCTGAATTTCGGCATGTCAGACGCCACAGCCGATTCATTTGTATTCATTGGAAAAATGAATCAATGACTTCCTCGTATTTGTAAACGATTTAAAAATGTGTTTGTATTCATTAAATGAATGACCATTTTACTTTTTTTATATATATTTTAACTTTTTTTCATTTTCATGTACAGAATTTATAAATTCCTCTTTCAACTAAATCATACAAAAGTTAACTAAAATTTATGTCAAATTGTTTATTTGTTCATTAAACACAAAAATGTATTACGATAATGCATCTTTTCTTTTAAATTAAAGAGTGACACTAATGATAGTGTGTAGCATTACAACCATGGCATAACAACCGGCCTTAATCACCAATCGAATACCAGTAGGATATGAAAAAACACCTGGTTTATACGGCAAAGGTCAGTATTTACAAATACATCATAAACGAAGATAATTATGTCGTCGGAAACAGACAAATGCCCAACCCCAACACGGCCCAGTAGAGGAACCATGACGTTTGGTAATAAATCTAACTAACTTTCGTCGCAATTATTTTCTACTTAACTAATCTCTGTAGCTTGTCAAGCCCTGTCAACATCAAGCTTTCTTTTAGCAAATGTTTAAATGTAGTACTCCATTAAATACAACCGCAATATTACTGCACTAAGTGACTGCTTTTAACTTTAATATCCAAAGTTCACAAACGTACCATATCAACTTTTAAAGATATGATGTATAAGACAAACATTGTCATATAACTGTGCTGTAATTAAAATGCTTATTTTGTCAAACTCGGTCGGTCAGGAGGTGAGACGAAACCAAACTAGGTTTATCCTCGTGTCAACCATGTAAGTATGTCAAGTTTGTTCGATGTTTTTGAGTTTACAAATGTATAATTTAAACATGTGCAGAACAAAAGTACTGTGTGTTTTCCCCCTAAGGCTTTGTGTTTTGGAAACAGAAAAACTGGATATTTGATGTTTAAATCTGTTGAATTATTCTAATTTACCTCTTTATCGCTTTTAATTATTCAAATGTCCACTAAAGCAAAAAGTCGCATCTTTAATTAAGTTGGGGCAAACGTGTTTCGAGGTTGTAAGCTATATGCCTTTCTAGTATCACAATATCATTAGAAATGTAGACACTAGTGGGAAACATTGAAAAATAAGAGAGTTGTTGTGTTTTGAATTGAGGAAATTTAAACGTTACACATAAAGACCACATTAATTACAGTTTCAGTTGTTCAATATCGGGAAAGTATTTACAACATATATTACAGATTCAAAAATATTAAGTTATATATGTGGAACACGTTTACTACAGATTGTAAAGTAAAATAGTGGGACACATTTAATACAAACTTAATTGTTGGCCACATTCACTACATTTCATAACTTAAATTTTCGGGGAAAAAGTTAACTACTACAGCAAAAGCTAAATAAAAAGACAATCATTACCACACACTTAAAAGTAAATTTACAACTGTTCCAAAAGGTAAATTCTTTAATATATTAACTACATATGAGAGTTAAAATAAGGGGAACTCAATCTGTACAGATATAAAAGTTTAATATGAGAACATCATTTACTACAACAAGTTCATACATTTAATATCAGGACTAAATTTACTACGGATTCAAATGTTAGATACACAAAACACATTAACTTTTACAAAAGCAATATAATCGTGTTCTAGCACTCAAATAGGATGTAACGTTAATATGCTATGTTATATTGTCTTTGCATAATATATCTGAAACATCAAATTCTTTTTTTAATGGAGTAAATGGAAGTGTTTCCCCATCAATATTTGATATACACATGCATTGGGTATTTTATTCTACGGTATTTTTGATATTCTTTTATGCTATTCAAGATATGTATACAGACATGTTTTATGGCCGGTTTGCAATCCTTTATGACACATGTTGTCTGAATAATATACTGTCATCTTTACAAAAATCGTTAGCGTAACTTACCTTAGCTATATAAAACTTTTACAAATACCTTGCTCTGCACAACTGAACTATCATCCCATTCAAGGACAAAGGTCACATCTCGGTCAAATCTTATAATCTAGTTTACTGCCTTACTATTACCATCTGCAATTATGTAATCCAACATCAATTAACTAATTAGTAAATAAAAGCATTTGTTTCAATTTAAAACCGCACATCAGAAAAATTTAAAGCCGTACCCACGCTACTTAATTATATCCACAATGTTTCGTCTGTAGTACTATTGTTGTTACTCATTTCACCTTTTAAAAGCGTTGGTAAAGTTTATAATAATTCGTGTTGTTATTGAACATTATGCAATATATTTATTATTCAAAGACTTTTTCAGTCTGTTTGAAATCGATGCTGTTTCAATATCAAATATATATTGTACATATTGTACGCAAAGAAACTGTATCTTTAGTATAATATAAGACACTGTTGATTTTGAGGGTGTTCTTTAATTCAATATATTTCCTCCTTAAGAAATGTTGGTGTGAAATACCTAAAGAGTTTATAATACATTGTTGCATTGATACCATACTGATTTTGTTGAACTTGTTCACAGCTGCAAAATCTCTTTTGGACGAGGCGCTATATTGAACTTTGCTAGCGTCTCGACCAATAAAGATTTATATATTTCAGGTGTGTACTCGTCCAATAGAAATCAGTATTGTATAGCTGAATGGTTGCCTTTAATGGCTGACGCATCAGAATTGCAGCCACCGTTTATCCCTACGTGATCGGAAGAGGCAATACCCGGTAAAATGGGTTCGAATTACTGAAGTCTATGCATCTTTTAGATCGAGCAGGTGAGATTTTGACCCCTGATGACCTCAATCTGTATCACCCGAGGTAAGCCAAAATCATATGACCTAAATTGTGTTGGTGCACCATAAAACCAAACAAAACAAAATAATATCATAACAAATTACAAAATATTCGAGTAGTTAGTTACTCATGGATATTTAGCACGACCTACTTTACCAAGCTGTTACCACAGTCACAACGAAATGGGATAACTGTCACTTGTAAACTTTAATTTTTTATCAGACAATTTATAAACATTATTGTATGAATAACTCCCCATTACAATAAATATAATATTTACACAAAGGAAAGTAATTGAGTTGTTGTTTTAATTTGAATATCAATGGAATATTTTTAATTCATGACTGAAATTTGATATCATAGATGAAAAAGCTTTTTAATATTGTATGAAACATATTTCTACAAGTAAGAGTTTATTTTCAAAGAATATAATAATATAATCATTTTATAATGTATATGATACAAATTAATATGCTATATTTTAAAAAAGTAGTCATAGCTCTTTTTATTAAATTACAAATTAGCAATACATCTGTTTTGTTACAATGTTTAAGTAGCACCTTTTTAATTTAAGTTCGTTTTTTACTTTAATCTTCTATATTTATGGTTTAAATTTAGTTATTTTATAATTTATCTGCTATTAACGCATTAAAAATATTGCAAATATTTTTGTTTTAATATGGTGCACATTCTTATCAATCCATACCCTATCATACAGTGAATTTTAATACATTTGAAACAAGAAGTATCTTTAAAAAGATACTCGGCCGAAGTCAAACTTGTTATCTTGCATAGGATAAGATACTACTAACCATGCTTACCGCAAACAGAACATTTTATTCGTCCTCAATAGTTTTATTTAAGTTCATTTTTCTCCATTAATTGTCATCTAAGATTTAAACAATATTACTTTCATTATTTGATTTTAATCAAAATGGAATTTGATTTGATTAGGAATTTATAACAAAACAAAGATTTAGTAGATAATGCACACTAATTCCGAGGAGAATTTGGAACTGTAAATTAGTCGAAAGTTCGTTTAAATAATCTTATGCCCGGTTCGAGAAGAGAATTTAATGACTAGAACAGCTTAGAAAAGAAACCTAATCGAACGCAAAAGTATCAAAAAGGCGATCTGTCATATTTATTTTCATATAATTATTGAAAAGCTGTTAGAAACATCTAGAAAATATCATTATTGTGTTTTTATATTTATTCTGACTTCTTTCTTTTTCAAACACTTATTGCCATCGCGCAATCGAACAGACCTCTACCTATAACGGATGCTCTTCTAAAATATCAATCGAACAGGCTATTATTGTTAAAATGACCAATTGAAATTCTGCCTATATTCATTTCTTTACTTTTAATTTTAGCGGAAGTCAAGGTTCAGACGGCCTTAGGTCGAAAAAAAAGATAAATGTAAATTTTGCAAGCTAATGTGATCCTAAAATTTAAAATGTAAATACATGTATATTGGCAAAATGATGTTACAGCTATTTTATGCTTAATAAATTAAAGATTTTGTCTATACAGTTACAAAAAGCCGATTTTAATTCTTTATTCAGACAAAATATTTTTATTGATAATGGGGAAAAATTGACACTATTTTTTATTTTTTGTCTCTTATTCCTAGCAGGCTGCATTGAAATATAAAAGAATGTACTTGTATTTGTGCATTTTTTTGGAATAAGATGAATGGTTAAACTTATGATTAATATTTTGTTACATACCCACTAGTACGTAAAATATGCCTACCCAAGCTAAGGATGGAGAAAGTAGTCACGTCAGTCCGGACAAAATTATTGAAGATATTGGCGGATGTGGTCGGTTTCAGGTACGCATGGCAATAGTTGTTCATCTCATCAAGACAATAATCTGCTTCACATTTACTGGAATGATTTTCATATCAAAGACGCCAGCGTGGTGGTGTGAGGATGAAATGATTGGAAAGAATATGACGTCATGTATTGCTGACGTAAACGGGACATCATTTGATTTCTGTCCGAAGAAAGCGTGTAATATAAATGGAGCGGCGTGTTCTAGAGTGAATTTTGATAGAAGCCTTACAACAGTAGCCACTGAGGTAAAATGGTATTCTTTTTCACAATCTATGTCGTTCAATAATTATTACAATACGTACATGTTTAAATAAATCATAGTAAAATTAAGTGCACCACAGAATAATGCGTCATAATATGTAATGAGCATCGAATCGATTACTCAGTTATATTATTTTTTTCCTCTTGCTTCTTTGCCTATATATTTGCATGTTCATTATTTTATTAAAGACACATGATTTTTATTGATGAGCAATGGTGCATTGATAACTTTCTACTTACTATTTCTTTTTCAGATAAGATATACCCAGATATAATGTCCTAGATTTCCAAAAATAAATTCCGCAATAGAAGTATTAGTATGAGCATAGTAGACCTTCAAATTTTATAAGTGAACATTAATCTTTTGTTATCTTCTTTTCTTTTTAATATCTAATTTACTTGGCTAACATCAATACCAAATCACATTTAGAACATGTCATAGCGGTACAGTTGAACTGGGTCTTTGCCGCTGGCACTGGCGCACATCCAACATATTAAGACTATTTCCAAGTGACGTGTAAAGGCTGCTGCACTTGACTAATGAGCTTTTCCACCATATAGGTCCGTAGTAAAGACAACTAAATCATTTTGATACAATGAAATGAGCATTGGAATTCCCCTTGTACATATGACGATTTATACCCTTTGGTACGATAACTAGCCACCGGATAATGTATGCAAAATGGGCAGGCTATTGTCAGACAATATTGTTGAACCAATCACTGCTTACCTTGATTATAAAACAAGGGAACCACATCATATCGTTCCAGCATTAACTAAACAATGGTGAATGCTACTTACTATAAAATAGAAAAGTAGAAGATAAAGAAATTAAATTACATTTTAAAAGATGTTAGATACCGACTTACATAATCATAAAGTTTATAGCAATTCCGTAAGTTTCTTTTCAGTTGAACACATATGTCGATGTCGTGGACTTGATCAGATCAGTAAAAAGTTTTATTTTCTTTTGTTTGCAGTTCAATCTTGTTTGTGATCAAGACTTTATTCCAAGTACGATCAGCTCAGTACAAATTGCTGGTACACTTGTTGGCAATATTGCTGCGGGACAAATTGCCGATTTAATTGGGCGCAAACCACCATTTTTTGCATCAATTCTTCTTATTTTCTCATTTAATATTGTCGGCTATTTTTCATCAAGTTGGCAAGTATTCGCAGTTGCACGATTTTTCCTTGGCATTGGCTGTGGTTTCTTTCTGACGACACAATATTGTTTCCTTTCGGAATTTTCTCTGGCACGTTGGCGTGTTTGGATAGTGGGGTTCCCTTCATGGCCTATTCAGGCAGGTGTGTTTTCCCTGTTGGCATGGCTGTTACATGACTGGCGATACATACAACTAATGACGGCTCTTTGTGCTATTCCATGTCTTCTTGCATGGTTGTAAGTTTTTTGTTTACAATGACACCTCAAATGCACATTTTTATTGACAAAATGTAAATAGTTCTGCCTTAAAATTCCAGAAGAAATCTAAAAAAATACAAACCACATAAAATTCGACGTTAATTTTAATTCATTATTTAATTTGCTTCCTTTTTCTGTTTTTTTCTTCCAATATTTTCTTTGCATAAAATGAACAGTAAGTGTCGAGCTTAATAAGTGTTTAATTTTATTGTAAATTATTAATCAATTGCTGTCATTTTGAAATCAATCGTTACGTCAAATAATTTCAATTCAAATGTTTAGTTCTGCTCGGACCAGTGAACGACACGCCGACCATGAACATACTCAATAAAACCGAACCTGCAGCATTTTTAACTTTGCCGTTTTGGCCTACCTTTATGGTTTGTAATTTCACTTTTTTGTAGGAGACAGAAAACGGATCTTCATTCCACTAATATTATTAATTACCAAATCTGTCTTTTCAGCGCATTGCCAGAAAGTTTCCGTTGGTACATAGCCCATGATAAACCAGAGAAGGCAGCTCAAATCATTACACGCATAGCCAAATATAACAAGCATGAAGAATCCGATATAGACAAAGTTCTAGATAACCAGGAAGAGCAAGAAGATCAGAAATACACAGTGTTACATTTGTTCAAATCAAGATACTTGACAAAAATAACGATTCTTCTGTCATTCAGTTGGTACGTTTTAACTTCAGTTGTCTCAGACTGTCACTAGACTTTAAAGATTTATGAAAAATTAAAAAATCCAGTAAAGCAAAAACCGGAGGGGCCTACTTATGGGATATAGAAATAGGGTCCGTCCGTCTGTCCTTCCGTCAGTCTTTCGTGTCCGGTCCATAGCTTTGTCATTTATCAAATGAATCTGAAATAACTTGACACAAATGTTTGTTATAATAAAACGATGTGTCATGCGCAACAACCAGACCCCTACCTCCAGGGTCAAGGTCACACTAGCTCATTCAAGGTCAACATTGTCTATTTTAGGGTATATGTCGTGTCCGGTCCATAACTTTCTTATCTTTGAAGGGATTTTGTAAATACTTGCCACAATTGTTCACAATAATAAAGCAATGTGTCATGCGCAATAACTGGTCTCCTACCGCCAAGGTCAAGGTCACACTTTGAGGTCAAAGATTAACATAGTCTATTAAAGGGTATATTTTGTGTCTGGTCCATAACTTTTTCATAGATCTGAGGATTTTGTAAGTACTTGCCACAAATAGTCACTATAATAAGACGATGTGTCATGAGCAACACCTGCATTCCTACCTCTAAGTTCAAGGTCACACTTAGAGGTCAAAAGTTAACATAGTCTGTTTAAGAGTATATTTTGTGTCCCATCCAGAGCTTCTTCGAGATTTTGAAATAACTAGGCATACATAGTCACAATAATAAGGCGATATGTCAAGTACAACACCTGCACCCCTACCTCCAAGGTCAAGGTCACACTTAGAGATCAAAGGTTAACAGAGTCTGTTATATGGTATTTTTGTGTCCCGCCCATAACTTCTTCATAGATCAAATGATTTTGAAAATACTTGGCACCAATAGTCACAATGATAAGATGATATGTCATGCGTAACACATGTGTCCATACCTCCAAAGTCAAGGTCACACATAGAGGTCAAAGATTAACATAGTCTGTTATAGGGTATATTTTGTGTCCAGTCCATAACTTTTTCATAGATAAAGGGATTTTAAACATACTTGGCACAAATAATCACAGTAATAAGACGATATGCCAGGCGCAAAACATGGGTCCTTACCTCCAAGGTCACACTTGGAGGTCAACACACTTGGAGGTCAAAGATTAACATAGTCTGTTAAAGGGTATATTTTGTGTCCGATTCATAACTTCTTCATAATTCAAGGGATTTTTAAAAATACTTGGCACAAATAGTAACAATAATAAGGCGATATGTCGTACACAACATCTGCACCCCTACTTCCAAGGTCAAGTTCACACTTAGAGGTCAAAGCTGAACATGATAGATTTTTAAATTCCGTGTTTCATTTTATTTCTTAAATGAATTTATTGTTGCATTTGCAGATCTAGCATTGATCATAATTTTGGACTGAAAGTCCTGAGATCCATACCTTAATCTTTTGAAATAGCACCGTTTTATGCTTCATATAAAACTTCCCCGAGGCGGGGGACGTTGGTAACTCTGTTACAAATTCTTGTTCAAAAGTGCAATAGACTTTCAAAATAAATTTTCCTTGAACATGTACGTATTGATATGTGAATGATATATTACCATTTAGGTTTGCCCTTGGTGTTGTGAAATATGGAATTGAATTTGGGATCCAGGAACTTTCTGGAAACATTTATTTAAATGTTTTCCTATTTAGTATTGTTGGTATTCCAGGCAAAGCAGTAGCGCTCTGGCTTCAAAACAGGTACAATTGAAAAATTTAAAGGCAAATATTACACTAAAATAAGATTACTATTAGATGCTCCGTTTTAAAACAAATTTTTGTAGCAGGTTAATAAAATAATAATAATGATAAAATGATTAACTGTTGCAAATAATACCGAGTTTTTAAAGACAACAAACCATGGAACTAAAAATCATATGAGACGTGTCATGACAAAACCAACATAATGGGTTTGCGACCAGCATGGATCCAGACCAGCCTGCGCATCCGCGCAGTCTGATCAGGATCCATGATGTTCGCTATCAGTTTCTCTACTTGAAATAGAGTTGGTAAGCGAACATCATGGATCCTGATCAGACTGCGCGGATGCACAGGCTGGTCTGGATCTATGCATGTCGCAAACGCACTATGTTGGTTTTGTCATGACGCGGCTAATATGGACAATATGGTATGTTTGATATACATGATCCGATATCGCATATCTCTTATTTATAGCCGATAATAAAGTGTTCTAGAACAAAATAATTTTATTTATAAATTAAAACTAAATCACTGAAAACCCCATAAAATATCATGTAACACAATGTTTTATGGTTTAATATCATATTTCATAATTGATTTAAGGCAACCCCTCAGCTACAGAAGGTGAAGTGTGTTTTCATTTTACGTTTACTTAACAGGTTTGGTCGAAGAGCAACATCGGTTATATGTTTTATAGTTGTTGCTGTAGGTGGATTTGTTGTCGGATTTGTACCGACGTTTAGTCTTTTAATCATTCTTTCATATTTTTATCATGAAACATTTGACATTTAACTTCTAACTACTGTTTGACCTTTTTATAAAAGCCATCGTTAATACTTTTGGTATATCAGAGTTCTTGTAACATTTTGAAAATAAAGACTTTATAAGAATCATTGGATTATTAAGATAGGGAATTTCTGTATCACTCATAATAATTTATAATCATCCCTACTTCAAGGAGACTCGCACCTACAAGAGTTAGTAAAAATCATTTTTAAAGCTGATGCAAATGGTACAACTGTTTATCACTAAATGTGCTCAGATGTAAAACACTGACACATTGAACCAAAGTTCAAACCAAAGTTCAAAGCCTTATCCCAAAACTTATAGAAATCATTGTCGTATCTTCAAACTTGTTTTAAAAAAATGGTTTAACAACACAACACAAACAAATTGCAAAATAATCGATATACTTCGCAAATCATTTAAGAAATTAAAGGATATGTACGATCATGTTTTTTTCTCTGACTAGATTTTGTTTGTTTGTCTTTTGTCATCAGTACGTATATGTATGTAAATATTCATTTGGCTAGATGTATTAATCAGGTGCTAAATAAATTGTTGTTGTAAATAATATACTTATGTTATTCATTAGATGCACCGCACAAGGACGAACTGACCAATGGGTTTGCCCTGGTAGCCAACATGGGTATAACTATGGCATGGGGACCAGTACAGACGATGACCATTGAATTGTACCCCACTGTCATCAGGTACTTCTATCTTAGATTGTGACGAAATTCTTGATGTACAATGACTGATTTTACCACCAAGAATCCATTTTCAAAGAACATCAGATTGACTGTTATTTTTCAGTTTATTTCGATTTTTATTTCATTGTGTTTATTTAGCTTTTTAAAAAACAAACATGATATATTCTGTCGCATAAAAGTTTAACGTAAAGATTTGAGTAAGGATTATTTTATATTTGTCGTTGAAACGCCTTTATTTCTAATGATGCGGAACAAACTTGATAATCTTTGAAATATCATCTTTATTTGATTTTTATGTGGAGTAAAATTATATTCAATTAATCTGCAAACATATTCTTAGGCAAGAAGTAATCGTTATATCTCTATGAAATAAGTAGATATTTAATTATATATTTTTATTGTTAAATTATATAAATGTTATATTAAGTTAACGTATGACAAATATTATATAAACAATGTTATATAAACGTTTTTTTCTAATATAGTTATTATTAATATAATATAAACAATATTGTATAAACGTATTACTTATATAATTATTACTTACTTGTGTACATGTATATACTATAAACAATGTTATATTAACGTATTGCTAATATAATTATAACATATATAATATAAACAAATTTATATGTATTTATATGTATATATATGTAGCGTATTTCTAATATAATTTAAACAATGTTATATAAACGTATTACTAATATAATTATACTTACGTGTATAGCATAAACATTGTTATATTAACGTGTTACTAATATATTATAAACAATGTTATATAGACGTGATGCTCTTATCAAATTTATATTAAATATCATGTTTTAACACTTTTTTCTTTTAATAAATTATGCAGCAACTTTAATAAAGTTTGCTTGTTTGTAGAAATATTGCTTTCGGATCACTGAGCGTCACAGGACGAATAGGTGCCATATTGGGACCTCAGTTAGTTTATTTGGTGAGCAATTTTCTTGATTTATTTTCCCCTTAAATTGACATTAAGGGCATATAGTGAGTGAACATGTGAAAGTCAAAATAAGTTTACGTGTTCCTATAACTCTTTTCAATATTATAATTTAAATTGCATAAACAATAAAGAACTCATCTCACCCAGGGAAACCTCTGTAATTATCGTTCAGAATTTACCTGTAACATTTGATATATAAAAAGAGTGCGGCATATATTTTTGTCAGACTTATATTTTGTTCTAAACATTAAATTTTTTCAAAAGCTATTGTTTGTCAATCACCATTATAACAGTCACTCTTTTTGAAATAAGCACATATTTGTCAATTCAGCACCGCTTGACAATAAAAACATAATCACAATGTCACTTATTGTTTATGATATTTAAGAATACATAATTATAAGTAAGAAAAACAGTAAATCTTGAATAACGTTAGTTTATTTGCTACACTTTTATTTTAGTAAGTTTGGTGAGGATTTAATATATTTTATATAAAGCAATTATTGTATATTAATGATATTTATGAACACATAAGTAAGATTAAACCTGCATTTCCTTCGTTTTAATGTAGATTACATTTACAACGCATTAAATGATAAGGGTAAAGCTGATGACTTTATTAGTTACTTTAAGTAGCGCTGTAAAGGTCACACGATGTACTCGTATGTCCATTTTTTTCATAGTTGTCATTCAAGGCGGTATTTCAAGCGAAAGCAGACAACTGATCCGGATAACTTTCTTACACAAAATAATGCGGAATAAATCTGGTTGGATTCAAACCCACAACGGATAAGGACTATATTTCGTTATTTTGTAAAAATGAAAATAATGACAAGGCAGCGTTTGAAAAGTTTTTTTAGTAAATACACAGTTAAATTAGTATGTTATTTTTTTCAGAATACTTACACACCAGGCTTGTTGTATTATTTTTGCGCAGGAATATCTGTCGCTTGTATGATCGGACTACTTTTCTTGCCGGAGACTATGAACCAAAATTTAAGTGATAAGATCAACGAAGAAAATAAAATAGAGAACGGCGGTGACAATGTAAAAGAAAAGTCCACTGAATGGCTCGACAATGTGAATGGATATATAACACAAAGCGACAAGAAAGTGTTTACAGTTACTAAGGCTGATACATCAGAGAAAATTCGCTCTACTGAAAACATTATATTTTCGACACAGATGTAAACTATACATTAAAGATTTACATGTATACTAAGAATATATATTTTCAAATATGTATTAATTTTGAAGATTCCGTTTATAATATAACGTAGTGTTGATAAATAGTAAACAAATATTAATACTTTGCGGGTATGTTCTCTTTTTATGATACTAAGTTTGATTTTTATTTCGCTATAAGGACCTGTAAAAGTGATAGATGTGCATTTTGTTTAAGTCCTGCCCAGCCGGTTGTCTGCTACCTAGACCTGGCCTCTTCATAATATAAAAAATAACCTGCATTTTTCTTATCTTAACGAGAATTTATGTTCACGTTATACAATACGTTTGTTCTTAATCAACAGATATGTGACTTAGGATTTCTTTTCAAATACCTGTTATAATCTTTGTAATGCCTGAAGACATTTTATTTATCTTATATAAAATAAAGAAATTAATACAGATAATTAATTTTCAAAGTTTTGTTGAATAGCATTTCTTCCAGTGCTTCATAAAAGAAACTGAAGCTGTTAAGGATCAGACCGAACTGCATTTCTTATCTTTGGTTGAATATTCATACGAAAGCATGTATTGTGCTTTATATTATTTCACAACTTATAAAAACGAGTCTCATCGTTTAAACCATGTTATATCCCAAAATAAATCACTGTTTGATACAATCGTACCAATTAAGCCTCGTTTTAATATTTGAAAGTCCACAATTTCATACCGAATTCCGATTGTACTTGAAGTGAAAGGTTTTGCCAAATTGTCATGAAATATTGTTGTGAAATAAAGAGGTTATTATACATTGTTGATAAACAATACTGATTCTATTGGACTCGTACAGAGCCAGACTCTGCTCGCACCTCGACTAATATAAGTTTGACAGCTGTGCAAGTCCAATAGAACTCAGTATTGTACTCAACAATGTATATAATAACGTCATAATATTCTATAATTTATAAACAGCTTTGAACTGTCTTTCAGATCTCTGGTCGACTAAGAAGTTACTTTTGGTAAACATAAAATGTCAATATCAGAGTATTCACTGTTCTTTCTCCTAAGAATAACTTTTCAAAGTATATTCACCGTTGATTGTTTTTACATAAATATATGATTTCTGGAAATCGTCCAAAGGACGCGGAAATATAATGTAACATCACGCCAAGTTTGTCATCATTATTCCAAAATAAAAAAACCAACACAATTAGATGACTCGCAAATAAAGTCAAATTAGTCAGTGTTAGCTTATTATATCGTTGTGACTTATCCTGTATCAATATATGCAATATATGCATCATTAAACAATTTGTTGTATCACTGTTTGCGATTACATATTTAACAAAATGCTTAAAAACTTATTTGTAAAGTAGGGTTTCCATCTTGGCCTTTCATGTTATACGTTAAACTTGAAACATAAAATGTGGATGTAATTTTGATCTGATACAAAGCATTTTAAGGCCCATTATAAAGAATCTAAAAAATATGGATTTTTGAGGCATAATGTGCTCATGTTTTCATTTTCAAGCTGTGCTGAATTGACAAAATATGTGTATATTTCAAAAAGATTGACTGTTTCAATGGTGATTGACAAACACTTGCTTTTGAAAAAAAATTTTTTTTCGAACAAAGTTTAAGTCTGACAAAACTATAAAAAGATTGCTGCACTCTTCTTATAAATTAAATGTTACAGGTAAATTCTGAACGATAACAACAGAAGTTTCCTTGGATGAGGTGTGTGATTTATTGTTCTTGCAATTAAAATTATAAGATTGAAATAGTTATAGGAACACGTAAACTTTTTTGACTTTCACATGTTCACTCACTATATTCCCTTAATGTCAATTTAATGTGAAAATAAATCAAGAAAAGTGCTCACCAAATAAACTAACTGAGGTCCCAGTTTAGCACCTATTTGTCCTGTGACGCTTAGTGAGCCGTGAGTAATATTTCTACAAACATGCAAATTTTATTAAAGTTGCTACATAATTTATTAATAGAAAAAAGTGTTAAAACATGATATTTAATATCAATTTGATAAGAGCATCACGTTTATATAACATTATTTATAATATATTAGTAACAGGTTAATATAACTGTTCATTTCTTTATGCAATAATTATATTAGTAATACGTTTATATAACATTATTTATATTAAATATGTAATCATTATATTAGTAAAACGTTTATATGACAGTATCATCAGGTTTGACCCCTGGTGTTGCTTTAAGTCTGCATCACCCGAGGAAAGCCTAAATCAATTGACCTAAATTGTGATGTTGCACCGTAAAAAAATAGTAAGTAACTCATGAATACTTAGCATGACCTACTTTACCAAGCTGTTTCAGTGACATTCACAACGTTATGGGATAACTGTCACTTGTAAACTTGTAAAGTTTTTTAATCAGACAATTTAAAAACATTATTTGCATGAATAACTTACTATACCAATTAATATAATATATACGTGAAGGAAAGTAATTGCGTTCATGTTTTAATTTGAATAACAATGGGATCTTTTAATTCATGACTAAGGTTTGATTTCATAGATGAGAAGCTTTTAAAAATTGCATGAAACAAATTTGTAAGTGTTTTCTTAAAAATAACAATATAATATGTTTATAATGTGTATAATACATTCAACTTAGTGAGCTATATTTAGAAAAGACATTCATAGGTCTTTTCTTAATTACAAATTAGAAATTATACAGCTTGTATGCGACAATGTTCAAGTCATATCAATTTTTTTTGTTTTAATTTAGTCATTTAAAAATTAATCAGCTATTAACGCATTCAAATATTTCTTTTTAAATCTAATAAGGTGCACATTCTTAATACTCCATACTCCACTGTACAGTGAAATTTAGAAACATTTAACTAAAGTGGAAAGAAACGGTTTATTTGTTAAAAAATTATAATGTAAATACATGTACACATGTATATTGGCAAAATGTATGCTAAAGCTATTTTATGCTTATCAAAGATTATGTTCTATACAATTAAAAAAGCCAATTTTTATTCTTTATTCAAACAAAACTTTTTTTATTCAACTGGGTAAGAATTGACATATTATGTATTTTCTTGTTTCTTATTCCTAGCTGACTGCATGCATTGTAATATGTAAGAATTTACTTGTATATGTGCAGTTTCTGAAATAAGATAAATGGTTTAACTAATGATTAATATTTTTGACTAATGATTAATAGTTTTGTTACATACCCTCTAGTACGTAAAATATGCCTACCCAAGCTAAGGATGGAGACAGTAGTCACGTCAGTCCGGATAAAATTATTGAAGATATTGGCGGATGTGGTCGGTTCCAGGTACGCATGGCAAAAGTTTGTTCACTCATCAAGACAAAATCTGCTTCACTTTTCTGGAAAAGATTTTTTATATCAAAAACGCAGCGGTGGGGGGTGAGGATAAAATGATTGGAAATAATATGACGTCATGTCATGCTGACGTTAACGGGACATCCTTTGATTTCTGTCCGAAGAAAGCGTGTAATATAAACGGAACGGCGTGTTCCAGAGTGAATTTTGATAGAAGCCTTACGACAGTGGCCACTGAGGTAAAATATTACTATAATCTATTCCGCAAAATAACTGTGTTGATACATTAATCATTACAATACATGTTTCAATGTTTTAAGGTAAATTTAAGGGTACCAAAAATACGTGTCATAAATGCTAATGTTTTCAGACAATATTATTGAACCAATCTCTGCTTACCTTGATTAAATAACAAGGGAACCATATCATATCTTTCCAACATTAACTAAACAGTGGTGGATGATACTTATTATAAAATTGGATAGTAGAAGATAAAACAATTAAATTTTATTTAAAAATATGTTTGATACCGACATACAGATAATAATACCGACAAACAAATACAATTTATAGCAATTCCGTAACGTTTGTTTTTAATGAAATACAAATGTCTTGAACTTAATTATGTCAGATGTTTTATTTTCTTTATTTGCAGTTCAATCTGGTTTGTGCCCTAGACTTCATTCCAAGTACAATAAATTCAGTACAAATTGCTGGTACCCTTGTTGGCAATATTGCTGCAGGACAAATTGCTGATTTAATTGGGCGAAAACCACCGTTTTTTGCATCAATTCTTCTTATTTTCTCATTTAATATTGTCGGCTATTTTTCAACAAGTTGGCAAGTATTTGCAGTTGCACGATTTTTCCTTGGCATGGGCGGTGGTTTCTTTCTGACGACACAATATTGTTTCCTTTCGGAATTTTCTCTGGCACGTTGGCGTGTTTGGATAGTGGGGTTCCCTTCATGGCCTATTCAGTCAAGTGTGTTGTCCCTGTTGGCATGGCTGTTACATGACTGGCGATACATACAACTAATGACGGCTCTTTGTGCTATTCCATGTCTTCTTGCATGGTTGTAAGTTTTCTTTTCACAATGACACCCTCATTCCAGAAGAAAATCTAAAAGAATAAAAACTACATAACAATATATTATTTTTAAGACATTATTTCATTTGCTTGTTACTCTAGACTGTAAATATTTTCTTTGCATAATAAGAACAATAGAGTGTTGAGCTTAATAAGTATATATTATAATTTTATCGTAAAATATTAAACGATTGCTGTCATTTTGAAATAAATCGTTATATTAAACCATTCCATTTAAAATATGTAGTTCTGCTTAGGCCTATGTATGGCAGACTGACCATGAAACCAAGCCTGCAGCATTTTCAACTTTGCCGTTTTTGGCTTACCTTAAAGGTTTGTAATTTTACTTTTTTGTAGGAGACAGAAAACGGATATTCATTACACTAATATCGTTTTACTACCAAATCTATCTTTTCAGTGCATTGCCTGAAAGTTTCCGTTGGTACATAGCCCATGATAAACCAGAGAAGGCTGCTCAAATCATTACACGCATAGCCAAATATAACAAGCATGAAGAATTCGATATAGACAAAGTTCTAGATAACCAGGAAGAGCAGGAAGATCAGAAATACACAGTGTTACATTTGTTCAAATCAAGATACTTGACAAAAATAACGATTCTTCTGTCATTCAGCTGGTACGTTTTAAGCTTGTCTTATCTTAGATCTCAGGGTGTCACTAGGCGGCTTTAGATGATAATGAATAAAAAAAATAACCCTATAAAAACCCCGGAAAAAACAACAACAAACAAAACAGAAATGTAAAAACTGGAGCGGCATAAACATTTTATTTTGTATGACTTAAAACCTTTGTGTGATACCTTATGTATTGAAGCTTTAAAATCATAGGATTAGAATTTGACAAAAGAGTCAAACTTATAGATTGTTGGCGAATAAAATTGATTTTAAATTGGTATAAATTTAAATTTATAACGTGTTTTTGTAGTTCACTGATTCCATAATTTTTATTTACCATGTACGTATTAATATGTGACAGATATATTACCATTTAGGATTGCTCTTGGTGTTGTGTCATATGGGATTTCATTTGGGATCCAGGAACTTTCTGGAAGCATTTATTTAAATGTTTTCCTATTTAGTATTGTTGGTATTCCCAGCAAATCAGTTGCGCTCTGGCTTCAAAACAGGTACAATTTAAATCATTTAAAGGCAAACATTACACTTTAATAAGTAAAGCTGGAAAGTTGCCATATGACCTATACTGTGTTAATGAAACGTAAATCTCAACCAAAAAGAAAGAAAGAAAGAAAGAAAGAAATAAAGAAAGAAAGAAAAGGAGAAGAAAGAAAGACAGGAAAAAACAACATATTTTTACGATTTTTTTCAAGAAATAATTTATAATAATATCCTAATGATACATTTTTATTTTTCTTTTGTTTATATCAATATTTGAACTACTTATGAAAAATGTGCCCATTGTAGATCAATCTACTTTAATGTATTTTCCCTTTATTACACTTTATGATGTTGATATGATTCTACGAGTTTAAAATTACAATAACAATTTACAAGGACAATCTTCTATCAATGTTGAATTGACGTTTGATTTAATTTGATTAAAATTGATTAACGGCAACGCCACAGCCACAAAATGTGAAATGTGTTTAGTCTTTACATGTTTTCATTTTGTGTTTACATAACAGGTTTGGTCGAAGAGCGACATCGGTTTTATGTTTTATAGTTGTTGCTGTAGGCGGATCTGTTGTAGGATTTGTACAGACGTTTAGTAATCATTCTTTATTATTTTTTATTATGAAACATTTGACATTTACCTTACTAATAACCGTTTTGTCTTTTCAATAAAACCTTAAAACTTAAAATATTTTGGTTTATCAAAATGCTGGTAACGGTTTGAAAATAAAAACTTTATAAGGATCATTGAATTATTTAGACACCAATGCAATTAATGCTATTTATTAATTGAAACGTCTTTATTTCTAATGATGCGGAACAAACTTAATAATCTTTTAAACATCAACTTTATTTGACTTTTTTTTCTGTGGAGTAGAATTATAACACAACAATAATGCAATAAAAATGTCTTTATCCCTCGTCTCTCCCTCGTTATAATTTATAGGCACCCCCACCTCTTTAGGGGAGACTCGCGCCTATTGGGGCTAGTCAGAATCATTTTTATTGCTGATGCAAAGGATACAGTTATTCTTTGCCTTGGATGTAACAAATTCTTCTGCTCAGATGCAAAACACTGATAAATTGAACCATACCTTATCCGACAATAATAGAAGTCATTGTCGTTTATTTTTCTTTAAAAATGCTATATAATAAGAAATAACAAACACAAACAGCAAACAAAAATCGATATACTTTGCAAATCCAAATTGAAGGATTTGTACGATCATGCTTATTTCGCTATTTTTTTTTATTTGTTTGTCTTTTGTAAAGAGTCATTCGAAGTTCACGTCAGTACGTATATGTATGTAAATGCTAGGTGCTAAATAAATTGTTGTTGTAAATAATATACGAATGTTTAATCCTAAGATGCACCGCACAAGGACGAACTTACCAATGGGTTTGCATTGGTAGCCAACATGGGTATATCTATGGCATGGGGACCAATACAGACGATGACCATTGAGCTGTATCCGACAGTAATCAGGTAGTTTTATCTTAGATTTCAACAACATTCTAGGTGTACTCTGACTGATTTTACCGCCAAACCTCCATTTTTAATGAACATCTGAGAGTACTTCAACTGATATTTTCGTGTTTTTTTTATTTTATGGTGTATTTTATGTTTAAATGTTTATGTGACCATTTTAACAAAAGAAAGTTATATTCTGTCGCATAAAAGTTTGACTTGAAGATTTAAATAAGGATTATTATTTTTTATATTTGTTGTTACCACGTCTTTATTCCTAATTATGCGGAACAAATATATATGAATATAAATATATATGAAATAAGTAGACATTTATGTTTTTATGCTTAAGTTATATAAATGTTATAAAAAAGTATAAGTGATATTATATAAAAGAAATGTTATATAAACGTATTACTAATTTCATATAAACAATGTTATAAATATAAACGTATTACTTATATAATAATTACAAATATGATATAAACAATGTAATATAAACAATGTTGCTCGTATCAATTTGATATTAAATTTAATGTTTTTTAACACTTTTTTTCTTTTTATAAATTAATATATTTATAAATTTGATATTCAATATAGTGTTTTTTACACTTTTTTCTTTTAATAAATTATGTAGCAACTTTAATAAAGTTCGCTTGTTTGTAGAAATATCGGTTTCGGCTCACTAAGCGTCACAGGACGAATAGGTGCTATACTGGGACCTCAGTTAGTTTATTTGGTGAGGAGTTTTCGTGTTTTTTGTTTTCATTAAAGTGACATTAAGGGTGTAAGTTAGTGAACATGTAAAAGTCAAAATAAGTTCATATTTTCCCATAACTCATATCTATATTTTATTAATTTACTTTGCATGAACGATATAAATAAATCACCTGACCCAAAAGAAGTTTCTATAAATTTCCATCAGATTTTACCAGAAAATTGTCAGTTTTAAGCCCATATACTGATTGGAAACTGTTACACATATTGCTTATGATATTTAAGAACACATATTTATAAGTATGAGAAACAAAAAAATCTTGAATAACGTTAATTTATTGCTTTATTTTTATTTTACTAAGTTTTGTGACGATTTTGTCGTATATATTCGATATACAATTTTTGTTTTGATATTTATGAGCACAACGCATTAGATAAAAGTAAAAAGGTTAGTTACTATAAAAACATGTAGCACAGACATACTACATGTATGATCATATAACGTATTTCCTGTCTTTTCATAGATGCCATTCTAGGCGGTATTTCAAGCGCAAGCAAACAGCTGATTCGAAACAAAGCTAGATAGCTTTCATACACAAAATAATGCGAAAATAAATATGGTTGGATTCAAGCCCACAGCGGTTAGGGGCTACATTTTGTATTTTTTTAAAAATGAAATTAACCATTTTCTTTTGTACAAACGTGCACTGTTAAATAAGCATTTTCTTTATTTTCAGAATACTTACACACCAGGATTATTGTATTTCTGTTGCGCAGGAATATCTGTCGTTTGTATAATCGGACTACTTTTCTTGCCAGAGACTATGAACCAAAATTTAAATGATAAGATCAACGAAGAAAATAGAATAGAGATGGAGGGTGACATTGCCAAAGAAAAGTCCACGGAATGGCTGGACAATGTGAATGGATATACAACACAAAGCGGCAAGAAAGTGTTTACAGTTACTATGGCTGATACATCAGATACAATTCACTCTACTGAAAACATTATATTTTCGACACAGTTGTAAACTAATATATATATATATATATATATATATATATATATAAAGATAATTATATAAAACAAAAATTTGTCATGTACTATGAATACAAAAATGTATATATTTACAAATGTGTGTTGGAAAATTCTGTTTATGATAGCGTAATGTTATTAATCTGGGCACAGATATTATAGTATAATCTATAAATTTCTTCAACTTTTCGGCATTTTCTAGTTGGGTGGTTCCAATATTCCTACTTGAATAATGTTGAATCACCCTTAGGATATGTTGCCTGCTTTTTAAATTTGTCTTTTGACGTTTTATCTGTGATACGCAGGCTTCATAACCTCTGATCCCCTTTCAAAATTCCATTTTATTTAGTTCCGCCCATTGTTTTCTCGTTTAGGGCACACACTTTTTATTACTTGGGGACCATACGCCGCTTTTCATGGAATGGCACGGAAGTGTCACATTGAAGGTTCCATGATAACCGCTGTATGAACACATCTGCGGATGTTTCTAAATTCAAAATTTTACTATTGCATGTTTAAATGTTGAATTCTGCTTAAGCCGGTGCTAGGGGGCGTGGACGGTAACTTGCACTTTCCAGTACCGTCCATGAACAGGCTCAATCAAACCGAGCCTGCAACATTTTCAATTTTGCCGTGTTGGGCTTTCTTTAGGGATTTTGTATTTATCTATTTTAGTACTGACTTTCAGATATCTACTTGATTCCGAATTTGTTTTTGTTTTGTTTGTTTGTTTGTTTCATTTTACGCCTTTTTCCAACAGTATTTCAGTCAAATAGGCGGGTTGTTTCCTAACCATCGTTCATGGAGAGTTACACCAGTACTAGACTACCTTCCTCCGCGCTAAACTACCAAAGCATCTTCCGGGGATCGAACCCGCGCCAGAGAGGTAACTGGATTAGAAGTCATCGACTCTAACCCCTCGACCACGGAGGCGGTTTGATTCAGAATTAACGTTTGTAAAACATAAAAGGTCAATATCAGAGTATTTTTAAAACTTCTTTAACTTTTCAAAGTATATTCACCGTTGATATTTTTTATATAATATGCCTTTAACAGTGTATATTTCTCACAGTCAGTCAGGCCAGCTTAGTGTTTGTTAGCGTATACGCATAACACGTAAACAGTCATAATTGTGCACTCAAGAGATAATTAGAGTGTTATACGGGATGACAATTACAAACGAAATCCATTTGTCATCTTTACGATGCATATAGGTAAATGTAGCTAGGGCCAAATAACGTGGACTTGAAAAATTCATCTCTTGAAACATAAAAGATGTTGTTTTTAAACATTAAGAAGGATTAACAGTTTGCCTGAATGTAATATCATTAAAATTAGAAAGGCTTGCGGTTTTTGAGGTATGTGTTTGCATTTGCATTTTATATTAAATATTTTTTATAATGAAACAATAAAATCATATGAATTCGCAATGTTGTTTGTATATATAAAACAGTTACTTTTAAGCTGTTAATAAAATGTTGACGTGTATACACATAATAAAGTGAAAAACTTATGATATTTTTTTAAATATAACTATTTATTAATTTCTAAATATTGGTTATTGTTTAAATATTCAACTTTTATACAAAATTAGATTCCTTCAAATAAATTCAACTGCGAGAACAATCACTTAACAATATCTTTTTACTTTTCATTCTTTAGAGTTATAAATCTTACCTAGAATACATTAAATATATCTATTTGTTTTAATAAAACAACAAACATCAGCTTAAAGTATGTAATTTCTATATTATATATCAAAGTAACATAACGCTTATTCTTTCCAGAAAATGTATAATATATAAAATACAGACATAACTCGCAATGACGACCGCCAATACTTCCAAAGATAATGATACCAAAGTAGCAAGTCCAGATGAAATTATTGAGAACCTCGGAGGATGTGGTCGCTTCCAGATTCGCATGAGCGTTGTCGTTCATTTGATAAAGACGGTCATCTGCTTCAGCTTCATGGGGATGATTATAATATCTGCAGCGCCATCATGGTGGTGTACAGATAGCGCCACCGGAAATGATGTAAAGACATGTACAGTTTATGAAAACAACACTGCCGTGCAGTATTGTCAGTCTAAATCGTGTGTTAACGGAAACAACTCCAAATGTCAAAACTTTGGATTCGAAAGCAGTTTGAATTCCATAGTAAATGAGGTAAGATATTAGTTTATCTTTACTCGTTGAATTAGCCGCTGAAGTTCGAGAAGGGGCTGGTCATGAGAGATGTTGCAATCATGAACACACTCAATTTAACTGACTCTGCGGTTTTCAACTACGTGTATATATTTCGCATACGCACAAACGAGTATATTTTTTGTTTTGTTACCCAGCACATGGTTTTCCCGATATATGTTATATTACAAGAAAAGTTATTTAATGAACTATAACATAAAATATCATCAATTTTGTTTTCAGTTCAATCTAGTTTGTGATCGAGATTACATACCGAGTATCATTAACTCCATACAGATTTCCGGCGTGCTTGTTGGGAACATTGCAGCCGGACAAATAGCAGATCTATTTGGAAGGAAACCCCCGTTCTTTACATCTATCGTTATTCTGATCGGATTTAACCTGTTTGGATTTTTCTCTACAAGCTGGCAAATGTTTGCGATTGCACGGTTCTTTACAGGTGTAGGTTCTGGATTCTTTCTTACAACTCAGTATTGTCTCCTGTCCGAGTTTACCTTGGCGAAATGGCGTGTTTGGATAGTAGGTTTTCCATCTTGGCCTATTCAGTCGTGTCTGTTTTCACTTCTGGCCTGGTTAATTCATGACTGGCGGTATATACAGTTGATGACAGCTTTTATGGGCATACCCTGTTTTCTGGCATGGTGGTGAGTCGAATTAATATATATGTAAAATTTCTCTTACATGACAAATGTGTGTAATTAACCAATATAGTTGCAACTAAGAATGTTGTATATGGAAATAAATATATTAAGGCACTTTATATGAACATATACACTGTCAAAAAAAAAACAACAACAAAAACTTACAGATATCCTTTTGACAAATTTATAATACTGCACAATTCTTTTTTTTCAAGAAAACTAAGCAAATCCGTTCAACCGTTTATTTGAAGACAATAAACGTGTCAAAATTCGCAAATAGGAATCGAGAAAATAACGTTTAAATGTATTTTCAAAATTTTCGAATTGCAATGACAAAAGCCACGTTTATTAAAAAGCCCATATGCTCCATACCTGCTTTTATACACTTCTTTTAATGTTTTTGTGTCCGTTCTGTAATAGTTTCCAAAAAGTTACTCATTAGCTAATTTACTGAATTATCGAGTTTTGTTAATGTGTACATTTATAATGATTTAGTCAAATAGTTACTTTGTTAATATTTTACTACATTTATTACACGAAATTTCACAATCAGTCATACATTGTGCAGGTGATAAGCATCAAACTTACTCCACAATCATTATTAAACGTTATAAAACTGACATTTGACCTTTTAAAAGAATAATAATTTATTCATTTCTAAAACATACTGTTCCTTTTATCCAACCGTCTTTAATCTATATTTCAGCAAGAAAATTACAAGTACATCTCTATCACTGCTTTAATTTATTTTCAAACAGCGTTATACCGGAGAGTTTTCGGTGGTACATAGCACACGACGAACCAGAAAAGGCAGAGGTCATTGTAAGAGCCGTGGCAAAGTTTAATAGACGCACTGACTTTGATATAGATAAAGCTTTGAGGAAGCCAGATACAAAAGAAGATAAGAAATACACGTTTTTAGATCTGTTTAAATCAAAGGAAATGGTGAAAGTAACCTTTTTACTGGCAGCCAACTGGTAAGTTCTGTTATTAAAATTTCAAAGATGAAAATATTATTGAGCGCGCTTAAAAACTAACATGGCATTATACGCCATTTACACAATCTACTTACGGTTTATAAATAAAATGAGTTTTCAACTGACTTTATTATGTTTTAGAATGATATTGCTTTAGTATGTCATACCCAAAATGTTTTTTCATTTTCAAACAGGTCAAAATGTGATGCCTCATTTGCAGTCAGAATATGTATCAACTGCTGTTAAATATTTAGTTTCATTTCAAATTGAGTTTGAAAGTTGACGAAATGATCGCTTATACCACACAACCGCTTAGTTTATGTTTATAGTTTATAGTTTTATTATTTAAAACATAGCACCTTCATTGCAAAGCTCATGATAAAAATAATTGATATATTATTAGAATGGTACAATTGTAGTTTGATATAATATCTTAAGATACTTGTGTTACCTCATTTTAATTTCAAGGTTTAAAAGAAATCGATGCTTACAAAAAGTTTTCCTTAAAAAAAGTTTATATCAACACAATGTACTTGCAACCCACTATTCAATTGTCAGGTTTATTTATATAGGATGGCACTAGGTGTGGTTTCATACGGCATAGCGTTCGGAATCCAGTCACTTTCCGGAAACATCTACTTCAACTTATTTCTGTTCAGTCTTACCGGAATACCTAGTAAGGCTATTGCACTTTGGCTTCAGAACAGGTGGGTACTTTTAGTTTTCCCATAGCGCATTTGTCCAGTGAAGAAAGTAAAGAACACTTATACGCATAAGAGATTTTATATAAATATGCATTAGTTGACAGCCATGTCGGGTTTAACTGACGTGCAGACTGACCTTGACCGACCTATCATTATTGCGACTAGTGATCAGCTACTTAAGAAAGCTTTCATAAATAGCAACACACTGACAAGTTGTGCATTAGCTTTAACTTATTTTCGCCATTTTAAGGTTAATAAATGTAAAATAAAAACTCTTAAGATACTTTTTATAATTAAGATTAATACATAAGAAATTCACATACAATGAGTTGTTTATAGTTGATGCTAAAAATATACACAGTTATGCTACATGTATATTAGTATAACATATACATTATCACTCGGAATGTAACCATTTATAAGTTTTTAACATTATGTATGTTTCTTTATTAACATAATTTCAGA